AGATCACATCACACCATAAAATAGAAAGTAACAATTATACAAGATCAAGCTCAATGTGACTGTGATTGTGAGAAACTATAACTAATAGATTGAGAATAACTTAAGAATAGTAACCAATAGGTCAATTAAGAGCTTATAATAAGAGGAATATATATATATATATATATACTTTACTTACTTAACGATTATGCAATAAGCATATATGTATAGTATAAGTCCATTATTAGATCTCAGAAGTCACCCACAATTTAGTCTTCACTAGGACAATAACAAAAACCAGGTCAACAACAACAACAACAATAACAATAACAAATACTTATTAAAACAAGACCAATAAAGTATAATAGGTTTTTTATTTATTTAGCAGGATGTCAATTATGTAATTGAGTTCAATAAACCAAGAAATTGTAGCCAGTTAACCTATTTCTCTTATTTTTTGTTTTTTTCGTTACTTTCAAATAAATTAGCAAATAATAATAACAGTAATTGCTTGCTTTGAAAAAGCATAAATAAAAAAATAGTTGAGATTATGAATCAATTGAAACTAGACTACCATGGGAAATGTGGAGGCACTGGATGGCCATTTCGTCCTATTGTGGGACTCTTCAGCAATGCGCATCCACGATGGATGTGTCAATAAATTTCGTGGATATATATATATATATATATATATATATATATATATATATATATATATATAGATATATATATATATATATATGTAAAACACAGAGAACACGAACCCATCATCCTCATACTGCATCACGAAGCAAGCGTTAATTTAGAATCCTGAAGGGAAACGAGAAATAGGAAGATCAAAGAACACACTTAATAAAAAATTGGAAGCAACTGGGAAAGATTGCTCATGAAAAAGAATCCTGGTGATTGGTCTATGCTCCTCTCCTCCGCGAGGGGTAACAGGTGTAAGTAATGTATATTTATATATTCAGTAATAAAGTAAATTTCAGCCTTATTTATTGTTAATAGATTTAATGAAGTGTTATAATAAATGGCATGGATAATTTTGTTCAATATATTCAATGAAATAATATTTCCCATTATGGGAATATAACTACCCCCCACCGCCAAAATTTTTTTCTAATAATTTTCACCTGATTTATTTTCTTTTTACTTTGTGCGAATCAATAAACTTTTTTTGTTTTTCTTTTTGTTGTTGTTGATATGATGAAGGAGTTTTCGGAAACCGTTGAATTTCATAATTTATATTACGGATTGATTAGAAATTTATTACTGAAAGTTAGAAAGAATTAGATATTTGTTTCATCATAATATCTGACTGTTAAAGAGTACATATGGATGATCCTATTAAAAAGGATGAAATCCAAGACTTTTAGATCTTGAATTGAGTGATTGAAAAGGATGAATAACAACTGGAAAGAGCTGGAAAGGATTGCCCAGGACATAGTTGGATGGAGAGTGCTGGTGGAGGTCCTATGCTCCTCCAAGAGGCGTAACAGGTGTAAGTAAGTAACACAGAATCTAATAATGGACATATCAAACTTCAATCAACTCGTGATATGGAAAACTGTTTTCTAATACCATTTATCACTAAATGCCTTACATCCCATATGGATGAACTCTACAAGTCAAGGTTAGTTACTAGTGAATACATAATTACTGTTAGTATTTATATTTTTCGGAGACTGTTCACATACGGAAGTACTTATTGATCTAGAACATTGGATATTGACTTAGTGGTTTAAAGTTTCGGCGTTTGCTGTGGTGTTTGAAGGTCACAAATTAGATCTCAGGAGTGCGCTGCTTGGGAATGCCATGGTAGGACAAAACAGCTGTTTAGTGGTTCTTGGTTTTCACTTTCTGTATAAGTAAGATCAGGCAAAACTTTAGACTATGTAACTCATTGTATTAATTTGTTAACTTGCTGAAACACCTCATGTTATATATGGTTAGTTTCTATCAAGACAAGAAGTTTGTAATTTCACTTTTGTTCAATTTCTTTTACCAGTCAACTTTCTGTTCCGTTGAACTTTGTCATCTCAACTGACAGCTAGATTATGACAGTCATTTAATATTATCTTTTGAGTTCAATTATCCAATGGAGTTATAATACAAACTTAATGAAATGAATCAGATTGTGTTCATTTTTTAACTTAATCACACGATGTTTACGTATAAGGTACACTCTAAGTATAAGGGTTGATGACTATTTATTTAAACACATAAGCAATGGTACAAGAACGCACCAAATAGATATGCGCCACATAAATCATCATTCGATTTATGTGAGCGCTGGGATACTGCCGGGTGCCCAAACCGGTTCAGGTGGTTTTGTTAGGGGGTCACACCCGGAGCCTTCGACCTAAAAGTCTAATCCACAAGGCAGTACAGAAACGTCAGGAGATGCAGTCCTTTGGTAGTCGTTGACCAATAATTGGTTCATACACCATTTGTCCCTTCAGGATATTAGAGGCCATGTGCTCCATCGGTTTGGAATCAGGGTTACCAAACTCCCCTATATGGATCCTCCATATCCACCAACCCGGTTAAAGCATCGGACATTCGCTCTTCATCTTCTCAATTTCGTAAACAATAGTAATGCCGCGAGAAGGCAGTGAGTAGGACTTCTCTGATAGTGGTTGTATGCATATGGCCATGTGAAAGCATTTGGAGAGGGAGAGCTGACACTCCCCACTCTCGGCCATACCAGGGCATTTAGGTGCTAGGGTTAATGATACTGTTACTTCATTATAAGCAAAGTTGGATAGTGGCTAACAATGGAATTCACTCTTAAAACATCAATGGGAAGATTCACGTAGAACAATACCAAGTGAACTGTGACCTGATTGTTTAGATCAAAGTAGGCGAAGGATATTTGAACTAGAGACTTAGTAGTTCAAAGTGAAACGCCTTAATCATATAAAGCCACTGATCTAATTATGTTTAGTAAATTTAATTAACCTAAACATTCATTGATGTAGATAGATTCTTTTATTATGATTATGAACAAAAAGTATAATGATTACCTAGTTTTCTGTTTTCACATAAAGTAAATCCACTTTATCATTGTCACGTAAAACAGTTATGTTTCAATGAGTTCTTTGATGATGCTTCAGTAATTTTGAATTAGAAAGTCTTTATAACATGGAAATGATGAAAAGAAAAACAAGTTAATGAACTAAATTTGCTTGGTATTGTTAACTTGTATCTTCCCATTGATGTTTAGCAGTGCAACTGATCAGTCTCTTATTGGATAACACGATGGAGTTTGGAGTGAACAGTACTGAGTTCGAGTCCCAGAGTGAACATGCAGGTGCATCAGGCTGACGAGTCCCAAGTAGGACGAAACGAGCGTCAAACTGGATTCCACTGCTAGCCACTACTAATCTTTGCCTATGATGATTGTGAATTAAAGTAATATCGAGGCAGTCCACACAGGATGCACATATGCCAATAAGAGACTGATAATGAGTCTTAATAATGGGAAGATATCATGTGAATTTAAACTTCACCCCATTGCACAAGCAAGTTGCTATTAGGACTCAGTAGCTAAGTGGATAACGCGATAGCGTTTGAAGTGAAAGCTAACGGGTTCGAGTACTAGAGTGAACATCAACTATGAGATGCGGGTACATCCAGCTTACCAGTCCCAAATAGAATGAAATGCACATCGAACTGGATTCCATTTCTAGTCATTATCCATTTGTGCTTGTATTTAATAAAATACTTTTAAGTTAAAATATATAATCATCGAGAAAAAAATGGGGATCTGATACGTATATGAAGGGATGGGTTTGAAAAGCAAAGAAAGTATTCCTGTATAATTGAAGAACATTTTGAGCTCAAAACACATGTCAACTAATATCAAAGTCACAATCTTCAACACGAACGTCGAAACAGTTAGTTCTATAGTAAGGAAATGAAACGTGGAGAACTACTACAAACATCATCAAGAAGGTATAAGTCTTTATAAACAATTATCTACACAAGATATTTAATATCCATTGGTAAATCAATGATTAAAATCATTAACTCTGTTCCATGTAATAAAATTATAACGGTCAATAAATGATTGATAAGTCCGAATTGTCTTTATCATGCAAGATGAAAATCAGAGTTTAGCTTCACAGCCTAGATAATTATCCATATTTTGAATTCAATCCCTTGCGTTGCTATCATAGACATGGACTGGAATCGAGAAGTTTAATACCAAAATAGAATAGCTGTCCCGAGCTTCCTGATTACCTAACTAATATTAGTTTACAATTGATTGATCACTGAGTAGTGACCAATATGTTGATAAACCTCAATCCTAAATAAGGTAAATCTCAGCTCCAACAGTTAAATCATAGGGTCTCTGACTGTAAAGCTGAAGGGACGCGAGGTCAAACCCAATAATTTCTCCAAGATTACAAGTACACTGTACTGACGAGTGTCAAATAACACGCAACCTAGGTAACACCAAGGTTATTTATCGGTAACTTTCTAACCAACACATTATTATTATTTTAACACTTAGATATTGGTACAAGGAGGCACCAAATACATATGCGCCACCCTAATCTCACTCAATATGCGTGAGGGCTGTGATACTGCCTGGGTGCCCAAACTGAAGCAGGTGGTTTTCTTAAGGGGCCACTCCCCGAGCCTTCGACCTGAAGGTCTAACCCACAAGGAGATGCAGTCCCATGGAAGCCGGTGACCAACAATTGGTTCATACGCCATTTGTTCCCGCAGGATACTGGAACCCATGTGCACCATTGGTTTGGAATCCGATTAAAGCGCTGGACATTCGCTTTTCGTCCTCTCATATTCGTAAACAACACCCGTGGTGTGAGAAGGCAGTGAGTAGGACTTCCCTGGCAGATGCTATACACGCGTGGCCATGTGAGAGCATTTCGAGAGAGAGAGAGAGAGCGGACTCTCCCTACTCTCGACCGTACCAGGGCATTTGTGTAAACGATGTAATATTATGTATTTCTTTTTCTCCCTTTTCATTTCTCAATCATACAACAATTCAATAACAGGAAATGTAAAAACGTTAATATTTCCATAAATATGAATTATTATTATTAACAGCAATTATTAGAAATAATATTCGTAATAGTAATAATAGTGGTATAATTGAACATGATAAGGTTGAATTATTATTATATGAAGGTTAATACTGTGAAATAAAAATAATAATAAAAAACAGGCAAGAAATTCGAATCCAAGATACAAATCATACACACACACATGCATACATAAGATAGTAGAGTAGAATAGAGTAGGATAGACAAATATTATCATAGTCCTCTCAATGGACAAGGGCAAAACAACAAACAAACAAACCGTGAAAACAATGAAATAATCAGTGTGACAAATTACGTGAGCGGCAATACTTCTATTATTATTACTCTTACTACTGATGAATAGAATCAGTAGTGAAATCAACAAAATTATATGATGAAAATATTTTTTATTTATTTTGAAGAATAAGAAGAAACAAAAAAGATAACATGAATCACTATAGCAATTTATAGAATATAATACATAGAGAAGAAAATGAGCGGCGATAAAGGAGGGGGTAGGAGAGGACAGTACGAGGGTACATAATCAGAATAAACAGAACAATAGCAAATAATAGTTGTGTGTACACATGAAATGATTATGATGAATTAGGGCGATTTGTCTAATTATTATTATCATCATCATCATCATCATCATGATCAGTATGATTGAAAGACAGATAAACAGACTAATAATGAATTATTCATTGATATAATCCATATTGTTGTCTTAAAAAAAAGTGTGAAACAATATGCCAAAAGTGGATAGGTGATGGAAAGGGAAAGGATAATCGGAATGAGGCAGAAAAAAGATAAACAAATAGTGAAATGTATTTCCTGCTCATTTATGACTGAACAAAAGAACATATGATTTTTTATATTTGACAGTTATTGAATAACCAAAGGATGAGATGAAACGACTACTGAAAATACAACAGCTTATACTAGTAGTATATTTATATATATATATATGCATTCTGTTGAAGAATACAGGAAATATAGTAGAGAGAAATAATAATAAGGATATACAGTATAATTTACACGTAGATTGTAGAATATAAACGGTACTTGTAGTTAATGTGTATAGACTACTACTGACTCGAAGCAAATTTATACTGAAAACGAAGATACAACAAATGATGGATATATTATAAAGAAGTATAATACATAAATGATAAACATGTGTATGTAAGTATGCATGTGTGTGTGTGTGTACGAAACGTAGTAAACAAAACAACGTTACATGTACACATACACACAGCAACAATATATATGTATATATGTATAGACAGAATCATTAACAGAAAGGTTTAACAACCCATTCAATAACATCATCGACGCCTTCCTTAACCATGGACACAACAGAGAATATAGATGGTGACAACAAGAAAGGTGTAAAAAATAATACAATACAATGCAATGAAATATATACTCAACAACAAAAAAGAAAATCTGAATATTGATTGGGAAAAAAATATTAACGTGGTTACTCTGCTCTAACCTGACTCTCTTTAGAAACAACAAGAATATAATCAGCATGAAAACAAAAATCATTAATGATTGACTAAGTGATTTCGTAATTGGCAAATGTTTTGTTTTATCCAAGGATCAATAAATAGAAAAGAAAATTATATAAAAGAAACGTGATGGGAATAATTATATTATTATTATTATTATTATCAAGGTGTGGACGGTAGCTCAACAATATGAACAGATTCCGTGAAAATGCTGATAAAGGTAAGAATAATAAGAAGAGGTTAGAAATGAACTTGTATAAAAATGCACTGAAATAAATCACCTATCAGATAAACGCTTTACATAAGTCACTGGGAACATTCCACGTCGACTGGGGTCTGATTGAATGAAACCTTCCTATAAAAAAAAACGAAAGTAAAAAATAATGCTTCGTTAAAGATTAAAATATTTATCTTAATTAGTTACTACCTATTAAACGTGGATTTGGATGGAGCCAATTGAAATGCTTCAAATAAAACAAAGTGAATATTCTATATCCTAATGCTAGTCACAATTCATTTATTCGATCAAGTATATAGCAAGTTCTGTATATTGAGGTGATCTATGTCGGACCAAAATCTCAGTTTTTTGTACACGAATTAAACAATATCACAATGAAGATATATTTAATTAGGTTACGAGGAGCATTTTATGGTTCATTATGTATGTAAGTATGAACAACAACGAGAATGGATCTAGGTATTGTTGTGAAATGCATTTCATAAACTTTAGGGTCACTGACATGTATAATAAAGATGGATAATAGAGATGCCCACAAAAATATCAGGTCCTGTGTTATTATTTTTCATTGTTTTTCATTGTAAAATTCCATTTTATGAAGTGATAATTCATTCACATGACGCTATCAATAATCGTTGAGTCAGAAAGCGCAAAACATGTAAACTAAGCTATCTCGGTATCTTGAGATTGCAACATTTGACGAATTATATCAACCAAAACGTGATGTAAGTTTCTTTTGACTGTATGTAAGCTGTCGTTCACAAACAGTAATGATCTAAAATAGAAAAGAGGTGGATATATCTTTAGTTAGGGTAGCTCTTGTTGCACGATTACGGTGGAGAACTGTATGTTACAATCAGCCTTTTATAGATAGGATATTATGACAATGAGAAAGTGACTTATATTCGGATAGTTCGTTAGGTCCTTCGGTGAACATGCATTCAAATTAATAGCCACACAAGTGAAAAGTTTCACAAGGCTAATGAGAAACAGACTCGTTGAATATAACTACCAGAAGTGAATTTACATCGGAAAAAAGCATCAAGTGTGTCTTCTGTATAGAGTAATGTGATTTGAAGCAATGAGCCGTTTGCATGTGTTAAGCTAACTTATTATCAAACTAACAGTGTACTACTTATATTTTGTTAGTAGCTAAAAAAACAAATTGCAAAAATTGGGCGGACAAAAGTCATGAAGTTGATAATAATCATGTTATTGGTGCACTTTATAATTAAATCCATAAATGAGAAACAATATACACAATAAAAAAAATGTGAAGGTCACAAAAGACGATAAAATGTCAGTGGTACGATCAAAATAAAATACCAGGTTGAGATAAACGCGTCAACCCTTCGTTATTTGAACGTGCATTAAGGTTACATGACTAAAATATGCTGGTTTAGATTACAAAAAAAAACTGTACACATATATGAATGACAGTTTGGAATGTTTTTGATGGTAAGAACGATAAATGGAAAAGCATAAAGTTGGTGAATATATATATATATATTTGTGTGTGTGTACAAATAATGATAATTTCACCGAGTCTAACAAAACCCGACATTTGACCCCATGAATTGACCACATGACAATTCATAGGTAAAACACCCAGCCAATAATATTGATAACAATAGTAATGATAATGGTAGTAGTAATAATATTAACTTCAATACAATTTATGTGGTAATATTATTGAAGAAACATTATTACACATTACAAAAAATTTGTACGCGTGAAAAACCAGAGACAAAATGTGTAAAAAAATGAATTCTAGGCTTTAGGGTCTGGTAATAACTGTTTTGATGCACACGGAATGTAGAAAAACAAATCTCTTATTTAACAGTGTTTGTGTGGAAGGGAGGGTGAGTGAAAGAACAATGTCGGTCACTCTATTTACATTTGAAATCAAATCAGTTCTAGTGCGTTGTTATCTGACGAAAAGTTGGCACGAATTCAGAAAATTTGATTGGCTTTTGTCAAATTACGTCAATTGTGACGTAGGTGACACATATCAGTCTTCTTGAATTTCATCGAAATTTCGTGCTGGTTGACACGTATCTTGTAGCTAAGAGGGTAATGATACTATTTGGTGGATTCAAACATGCATCAACCGGCTTCACACTCTAAGATCTCACCACTGAGCTATTTAGTTTGTGGTTGACTGCTTGTAGTGAAGTGAATGAGAAATCAGGTGAGGAAAACGGATTTATTGTTTAATGCAAAACCACACAGTGGCTTAGTAAAATATGAAAATCATACATGAAATACATCATTTATACATCTACTCCATTATTCCTGTAATTCTACTGTTATTTTGATTTCTCATCGATTTCCTTTCTGTTCTCTTTAATTCAATCTTCTGCTACCAGGGATTCTAATTTCGATTGCGACTACTTACTAATGTCTGCCAGTAAAGTAGCATACACCACAGTAGAACTGTAGGACTGCCGCTAATCGATCACTTTCATCCACCTGACTCACGATCTCAACTATTGAAATTACTATAATATCCACAAAACCCCTTCTGATATTAATCAACATATGCGCCTTAGTAACTGGCTTCAAGAGGTGTTTCCTGAAGTTCTAGTGAGAACCAGTGACCAATGGAGTTCAACTGGGTCTGTTGTGAGATAGTAACTCACCGGAGACAATGGTGGACGTGTCGCTCAATTTCGTGGATTAGTTGAATTTAGGCATTAACAGCGTTTGATGCCGGCTCAGTGGTCTAGTGGTTAAGCGCTCGCGCGCGAGACTGATAGATCCTAGGTTCGAACCTCATGAAGTGGGATCGTGGGTGCGCACTGCTGATGAGTCCCACAGTAGGACGAAATAGCCATCAAGTGCTTTCATGTTTTCCATAGTGGTCTAGCTTCAATTGATTAATGACCTCAATTATTGAAATTACTATAACATCCACAAAACCCCTTCTGATAAATAAAAGTATTCAAAAATAACGTTGATAACTCTTTCTCTATTAAACTGAATTAAACACCGGAACACTAAAAGTTCAAACCATCGAATAGTTGCCTTATTTTGAAACTTTATCAGAATCAGAATACACATCATAGTTATTTAAATCTTACTGAATTCCATTAGTTTATCATATATGAACAAACTTAATACCATTGACAATTAACTATTTATTATTTTCACCTTCACAAATACTATACAAGACATTACTATAATGGAAGTTGGATTTTTATTTTTCGAAAGAAACACAAAGAAACAAACATCTCTCATCATCATTATCATCATTTAACTTACCCACCAATCATTATCTGGTCTATCGATTAATTGTATAATTTCACCACGATTAAATGTTAATTCATCTGAATTTTCCGCTTCACAATCATATAAAGCTTCTAATAGATCGCCTATTTTACAATTGAATATTGATAAATTATTTGAGCTTTTAATACATTTCAATGATGATGTTGAATAAAGACTAGAATCATATTTATCTGAAAGAGAATTCAATAGAATGAAATTAGTTAAATTGGATGAGATTATAATTTATGGACGATCTTTGAGCGACGTTAAAGTGATCTTGGGAATGTCCACCTATATACACTACGGTTAAATGAAGGACTAGTGTGACGAATTAGGATTATTATTTGCAGTTCATAGTTAGGGTTAGGAGTTAGATTTAAGGTTTTCATCACAAACTGACATCAGCTATAATGCCGAAACTATTTAACCAAATGAACGAATTGATTTCGTGCCGAAATTCAAGATATTCTATTCTAAATTTGATTGGTTCGTCCAGAAACTGTTAGCTCGCCACTGGTGTGAAGTGTGCTACTTGTACAGACAGATATAAGTAGTATGCATCAGGAACTGAAAATAGAGTTCTTATGGACAGACGAGGAAAGAAAACAACAGGGATAAAAGAACAATGGTGCTTGTGAGAGACAACTCAAAGAAAATGGGCAAACAGTGTATTGAACGTATTGTTTTCATGTTTTACAAAGATAGTGTGATTTTGCACAATACAATAGATTAGTTTTGCCCTAATCAAGACTTCGATCTTTAATACGAAATTAATGACAATTAACGGGGAAAAAGAAAACATAAGAAGTCATCATTTTTATATTAATATGAAATAACATGATTATGTATACAATGTAACTTTCAGTTTCAATCTGAGTAGGAATTGTTACATTGAATAAACAAACTATAGTATTACGTCCTCTGCTTGATTACGACAGAATACGGTATACAACTATTGGCGCTCGAACACATGGAACCTCCACAGTCGCAAAGCAAAGTACCGAGAGGCAGGGAAAGCGATTATTGAGCGTGAGTTTAAAATGTACAGAAAAACAGGGATATTTATAGTTTTCAGTATAGTCCAATAACACCAGCCAATTGGCAAGTAGAAAAAGTATACAATAATCCTATTGTAGCACACCACGTTGATATTCTAGAAGGTTCCATCAGGTTTTGGTTAGATATAAACTCTTCGGCTCCCTTACAGCCTCTGGAGGCTTCCTCGCGTTTTTTGGGAGCCGTCGAAACAAGTAATAATTCACTTGTAATGTTATGAACTGGTAACGTCCAGTTGGAAGGGATTTTCTTGTTTCACAAGACGAATCCAATATTTCAGTGGATAACGCGTTGGATTTGAAAGAGAAAAGTATCAGGTTCCAGTCTTGGAGTGATGATCAACATTATGACGCTTGACTTCTAGAAAACTGAGAAGGGATATGGTGGTGTTTATGCCTAACTTCAGTTAATTCATGATATCACACGATCCTATCCCGTTGTTTGTGATGGATAGCTATCTGTCTGGTATCTTATGATTGAACTCTACTGGTCACAGCTTCTCTATAGAACTACAGGATTTGCAGTTACTAGTTAGTACATGATTAATAATAGTACGGGGAGCCATAGCGTGGTTTATTGAGTTCTCACAGACTACATCACGCACCAGTCTTAGTTGAAAAACCATTGAAAAGTACGAAAAATTAGAGAGCTGTTTCGTCCTTGTAAGGGACTCCACAATAGGGTGTATCCATCTGTGGAAATTCAAAAATCACCACAAAACCTATGATATCGTTTAGTGTTTAAAAACATTTGTATTTCATAATATTACTAGGTAGATTTTTTACATACAGCCTAAGGAGTCATTGTTTTTTATTACTCTTAAATAAGTAGGTAATGACACAATAAAAGACTATAGATTACTTACTCTATTTACTTGTAATATTTATAAAAGCTTCATACAATTTCAAAATTAATAAGAAAGCCAACCACAAAAAAGGGAATCAGAGCAAACTGATTTACGGCTTGTGAAACAATTTAGAATCTCATTCAAAACAGATAGAATATGACTACCAGTGGAATCCATGATACGCGTTTGGGATTTATTAGCTGGATGTACCTGTATTCGAGAGTTGATGTTCATGTCAGGACTCGAACCCGATACTTTTAACAGACCGTTGAAAAACAAACTAAGACGCTCATCCCTACATGAAGTGCTTAAACACGTCTAAGAACAACAATCGAACCATTTTATTTAAAGAATTCAGTCAAACGGAATATTCATACTTTAGCTGCACATTTTTACCTATCATTTTAAAGGCGATGTCTTTCTCGCATACTTATGCATATATTTGTCTGAACACATAAACATTGATACAAAGGGTACCAAAATATATATGCACCACATGAATCATTAAATGTGTATGTGTTGGGATACCACCCGAGTGCCTAAACCGAAGCAGTTGTTTTTGCTTATGGACTTCCACTCCCAGATACTTTGACGTAGATGTTTAATCCACAAGACAGTGCAGTAACATTATGAGATGCTATCTTACGGTAACCAGTGGCCAAAACAATAGGATCATACTCTATCCTGCGGGAACAAATGGCGTATGAACCAATTGTTGGTCACCGGCTTCCATGGGAATGCATCTCCTTACAATGCGCCACTGCCTTGTGGATCAAACCTTCAGATCGAAGGCTCAGGGTGTGGCCCCCTAAGAAAACCACCTGCTTCAGTTTGGGCACCTGGGCAGTATCACAGCCCTCACACATATCGAATGAGATTTGTGTGGCGCATATGTATTTGGTGCCTCCTTGTATCAATGTCTATGTGTTAAAATAAATAATAAATAACACAACGAAAACTCAACTACCTAATGGAATACAAAAAGACTTACCATTTGTATGTTGTGATAATGAATATTTTGAGGAATCAACTAAATGACTAGATGAATTCACTGTTGATATTTGAACTTCCTTGGTTGATACAGAAGCATCTGGGGATGATTCCGTGAAGGAAGAATCATAGAGGACAGGTAAATTTGAACAAACTGAAACAGAACTGTTTCTACTCTAAAAAAATTGAAAGATTATGGAAGAAAGGAGAAATAAGATTTGAGGTTCATGTCATATATTTCACTTCTTAGAGAAAATAACAAATCTTACGAAAGGAAACAGTAAATAAATATAAGTGAAACTATAAATGGAACCTTGACCAGTTTTTATTTTAAGATCGCGACTACAAACCACATGAAGATAAGATATATATGGGTAGACTACAATTTACGGACGAAATTTGAGCGACGCTAGAGCGGCCTTGAGAATGTCTAAATGAAGGTTTTAAACCTGTGTGAAGAATAAGGATTGTGGTTAGAAATTATATTTAAGGTTTTCATCACGAATTGGCGTCAGATAAAATGCCAAGATGCTATTTAGCCAAATTGATACAGAATTTCGAGCCAGAATCCAAGACCTGTTATCATAAATCTGATTGGTTCGTCCATACTTACAGTCTCGCCATATATATATATATATATATATATATATATATATATATATCACTGAGTTGTTAGTTAACTATTCTACTTTCAGATTCTCTCTCTCATACACTACTCTTCACACTCCTCAAGCATGCAACCAATACCTTGGGGTTAAACACAAATCTACTTTACAGGTTGAATGTAACACATATTCCGAAATATCTTGTTAACTAGCTACAATTGAAATGTGAAATAAGATTTAGCTCATATAGATGAAATTTATCTCTTTAAATAATGTTTATTTTTACTGGTAAGTGTTAATAGATCATGGAGAACAGTTAGGCACTCTAAGATATTAATCTCAATTGGATGATGATTGAATAAAGTTAGACAAAGTAAATCAATAGATGTCAACTTAATGATTTGTAGGTTACACAATCATTTTATGATCTGAAAGTCCTAGGTTCCATCCATATGGTAGAGGTTGGTGTCATGTACACTAACAATGAGTTCTATAATCAGAATGAAACACTTGATCAATGCTACACTCTTTCAATGGTTATTTAACTAAAATCAATTCATGATGTAAACTAAATAATATCAATAAGACAAAACTAAATTGTTATTGATCTGCGAAGAATCAACAAGGAACAAAATGTATGAACTATACTATTTACAAAAGTGTTAGTGTTCAACTTTCAACACTAAGTAACACAAATGAACAGTGTAAATAATATATTTTTAGAAAAGTGTGTTTTTCACTGTACATCTAAAGATAACATTAATTCAAAGAGTGCAACTTGAAATGGCTCTTTCCTAGTTACCTATAATCTACATGAATGTTATATTACTATTATTTTCTTTTCTAATGATATATATGGTATCTGAAAGCTTGACCGCCTGTCAGTTCTTTAGGATCGCCTACACATGAGTACCAAAAGGCAGAGTGAAAGTGTGTAGTAAGCACAGAACCTTTCATTCAAGGTTAGTTTACGTACAGAAGACACGGTTATTTAAAGATCTAGGCGTAGCCTTGATATTCTGAAGACTTCTGGAAGTATTTAACAATATTTAGTTAGACAACTATCGAAAACCTGGAAGCACTGGACGGAGGTCTCATCCTAGTATGGGTCTCCTCAGCAGTGTGTATCCATCACCGAACGACATGACTGAACTCACGAACGCTAGACCCCTAGGCCACTAAGACCTCATACAACGGTGTGTATCTAAATCGCGCAACCCTTATTGTCTGTAAGTGTATAGATGTCTGATATCCAACATGGTTGGACTCCGCCGGTCACAACTTCTTACTAGAATTACAAAATTTCAAGTAATATTTAAAACTGACTCAACCTATTAGCTTATATGTAACTACGGAGGAAACAAAAAATTAACAGAATGAATTTATTGTATTCTACAAAACAAATGTTATTTGTTTGAAATTGTGATGTAAGGGAACCAGCTACATGAAGTAAGTCGGTTCGTATTAAATACTACAGTTAGCGAGATGTGCAACTTTTGCTGATAATTGTATACCTGTAAATCAGATACATACGTCAGTAAACTAAATGGGAATAATCGATAGTTTTTTAAGTTTTTCAACAAAATTGTCATAAGTATAGTGGAAATTCTCGAAGTTAAGCGGTTTGAATCATGAACTGATCGTGGCTAAACAACCATTGAAAACCTGGAAGCACTGGACGGCCACTTCGTCCTAGTACACATCCATTAATGATTTTTATAGGAAATCGAACACAGGACTTCTCACCTAGTACTTAACCTCTAGACTGCTGAATTTGGATCCAATAACGCTAATGTCTAATTACAGTTAATTTATGATATTGTGCGGTCATCGATTCGACACCTGGATGCGACGTCATGAATGATAACTGTTAAGGAGCTTCATAACAGGACGAAATAATATTAACTATAGACATTTTATCAGGAAAAAATGCATATTTTTATTTCGTTTAACATTTTATCTGTGAGAGTTGTTCAAATCGAAGAAGACAGAATGAGGTTCGACCACCTACGACTTTATTGGCCAAAAGTTAGATGTCTAACTACAAGTTCATCACTATTTTGAAAATACATACATTACATAAGTATTAAATAACTGATTGAATCACGTACATATGAATTAAAACACACGCTTTCACAGATATACTATGCTGGATAAGAAACAACTTATGAAAAACAACAGATTATTGAGGTAATAAATATAATAGTAATAATAAATAATAGTTACCAGATGTGAACTTCGATTAGGTAAAGTTGAATAAATTGCATTACATAAATAACTTGGCTTAGGTGGAATTGCAGGAGATGTGTTGATACTAGAAGTAGTAATAGGAATACAAGAATTTTTGATTGTTGAAGACATTGTGCCAGTTTTATTAGTAGCCGTGATAGGACTAGAAGTATTGAGGGATTCAGAAATTATTGGCTTCTCTTCCAAGACATCCAGGATTATGTCAATATGATCACTAGGCAATGATTTCTCATGATCAGTTGAGGCTAAACAGAATTTCCGGTGAAAAATAAACGAAGACTTTAATAAAGAGAAAGAAAAACGTTCAAAAGACCAATACAGGAGAATTCATTTTGGAATGTGAAGTTTGGTGTTTTACATAAGAGAAATACCCAGTGTTCTCCCAAGAACCCATTTGTGAATTGAAACAGTCAATACGTAGATTCTCAAGGTGACATATCATGCTGCCGATACATACACCCAAACTTTCTTTCTAGCTGATTCCGATAACCCCAAACAACTACACGACAACTTCAACACTAGAGAGAAGGGCTGAATCGAGAGTAAAAGCTTTACTCCAAGGTTAGTTTATGTATAGGAAAACGAGGGTACTTTTAGGATTACACGACCTTGGGTAGTCGATATTTTTTCTTAAGAAGTCACACTCCCTAATAATTTGACGTGATGATTTGATCCAACAGAGCAATGAAGTAGAGCAACATCATGAGATACCGATGACAAAACGAGAATAAGTTCATATGTCTTTCCCATAAGATCTAGAAGCTCTTGTAAACTACTAGTTTGAAAACAGGGTTTCACAAGATTTTCTTCTGCCTCATTCCTCAATAGGTGAACTCACTGTATTCACAAACTATGTTTAACCATAGGACATTTGCTTTCCGTATACACCATTTTCGCACTGTGTTAGAACAGTTAATGAAATCTTTTTGAGAGAGGACTGTATGATGGAAACTAACTAGTTTTTCTTTTTCAAAATACCCTCAAAAGGTTGATTATTAACTAAGATGGTTTGATGATTAATTATTTAGTAAACTATTTGGTAGACAGAATTAAAATAACCGAAAATTGACAAGTACTTTTGAATATTCAATAAAATTGTGTTCTAATTTAGACGATAAATTCTGACATGGCTCACAATCGATCACAATGGCGTACGCGTATACACTCTATGTCTTCCCTTAAACTACGAGATTAAAATTGCTTCATATCGTTCTATGAACTAATTCTTTCTTCCTGTACGATATCCTTATATAAAATCTTTCTTTTGTATATTACTACCACTGAAGTGACTACTTCTATGAGTCCGGTGTTCATCTTGTTGTGCTAATGTGGTATATCAACTTGAACTGATGGATATATGTGCCTGGCCTTACGTTGTAGATGACTGACTGTTCATTTATTGAGTGAATATTGCGTTGAGGATTTCATTTTAAGCTGTAAAATTCCCGATATTTATTTTATATTTATTCGATAAGTCATGTTTATAGAGGACATATTTAGACAATTCATCTTATATTGGTTGTTTGAATCTTCTCATGTCATGTTTAATACTGTAATTGACCGGTCTTTCTTGTTATATACGGAAGAATAATGGGTGATAACTGTTAGGATTGTTATTATATACATTCTTATTGTATAACCATTAAGTAATTGTTATATGTATATTCATATTCCTTTAATTATAAGCTTCCGTTTGACCTATTGATTACCAGTATACGATTTACTATCCCTGTGTTATTCCAAATTTAACAGCTACAGTCCTAAACAGAACGAAACAACAAGCATCTTGTATTCAACTTCTAGAAATCATCTATCTTTGTTTATATTTATAGCTTTAAATGATTAAAATGGATTCGAATCTCGCGAGGCGGGATCATGGATGCGCACTGCTAAGGAGTCCCACACAGTAGGACAAAACGGCCGTCCAGTGATCCCAGATTTTCCATGGTGGTCTAGCTTCATGATCTCAACTATTAAAATGGACGAGAAAAATGTTCGAAAGTACCACATATTTCACTTTTATTGAACAATGTAAAAAGAGGAATGATTATTCTATCCTTGAATATATAAAACACTTGGGATAACGTTCAAATTTATTAACCAAATGAGTAAAAACACATATTTATTGATTGAAACATCCTGTCGTCGATTTCATCTACAACAGTAGCCTGGTGATGAAGCTAATCGATAAGAAATGAACAATTTTATTACCATTAACATGATAATATTATAAGAAAATATTATTCAAATCTCCCATCTACCAGCCATAAACTGTCAGTAACGCCGAATAAAACGAATGACGAATTTATGTGTTTATAAAATAAAAACACCCTGTTCATGTCTATATGTTATGGTGCAGTTACACACACACACACTTGCATATATTATTGACATGATGAGTCTAAAATTATGGGTGATTTTATGAAACCGATCACAAAATAGTGCAGTGAACAATTGAAAATTATTATTTGTGAATTATAAATAAATAATTAAATATGTATATTGTTGATCGTAAGTTGTTTGTAGATGACTTTAGTTACTTTCTAACGACAGTTATCGCAAAATACATTATGGTATATATGCCCACACACAGCCATTCGTATATAACCAATGTCAGAGAAGTGCTATTCACTGCTTTCATGCGACAGTACTGTTGTTTACGAAATTGGGAGGATGAAAAGTGAATGTCCGGTGCTTTAACCTGGTTGGTGGACATGAAGGGTCCGCCTATACGAGTTAGAAAATACTGACTGCAAACTAATGGAACACATGAGCTCCATTATCCTAAGACAATAAATGGCATATGAATTTATTGCTGGTCACCGGCTACCATAAGGTAGCATCTCCCAAAGTTGCTCCACTGCCTTATAGATTAGATCTCTGAGTCAAAGGCTCGTGGAGTGCCTCCTCAAGAAAATAACCTGCTTTGGTATGGGGATCCGGGCGATATCCCAGCCCTCACGTAAACCAAATGAAGCAGTGTGGCGCATACATATTTTGTGCCTCCTTGTACCAATGTTTATGTGTTTAAATAAACTAAATGAAAAATAAAGATTAACTAAAATAAAAAGATTGAAAAGCCAATCCTAACATACCACTGACGACAACAAATCACTAAAAAGAAAATGTTAAGGAGGAGAGATGCAAAATACTAAGAATATTCTGGACGAGAGAAGCTGTTGGAAAACTATTGTGAAATAGGCACAAAAATTAATACGTTTCAATAACATGCCCAAAAATCGGGTCAACACGTTCAGGTTTCGCAGTTGACTGAAGAGAGAGCATGATATAAGAAGGCTTTTATACAAGTTTCAAATTCTCAGCTTAGTTAGCGGTCATGGAAGAAAAGAGAATAGAGACATTCCCATGTATTGTAGTGGGATTCTGAGTTAAGAATAAGTCTTACAGTAAACAAACCTACCAGATCTTGAAAGAACCTATTAATTTCATCAATTATATGCAGTTTTTGGTCTCTAACTTAGTCAAAGCCAAAGTGAAGGAAATAATGATATCTATGCTAAATTCATCACATCACAGAGGATCAAACTTAGGACCTCCGACAGCGTTTGCAAACGCTTAACCTCTACACCACTGAGTCAGCATCCAACGAAGTTGGATTGCTCAACCATCTTTCATTGTCTTCAATACACACAACAGAGAAGAAACAATTATCCAGTTGCTTTCCCAGTTTTCGATATTTACCTAACTAAAATCAAACCGTGGTGTACAAGATGGAATTATGTCTTGATAAAACAAACATATTATTATCAGTACAGGGTTTTAGAGATTGTTGAGTTTTAAATGAGATCATGGACCGATCAATGTTAGACCACCACTGAAAAGCTGGAAGTACTGGACGGCCGATTTGTCTTAGTACGGGGTTCCTCAGCGGTGTGAATCCACGATCGTGAACGCGACACTAGAACCCAGGACCTACAGTCTTGTACACGAACGCTTAACCTCTAGATTACTGGGCCATGATTAATGGAGTTTAAACGTGTCAAGTGTGAGGCAGTTACTCGCCGAAGACAATGGAGGATGGTCGCGCAATACCTTAAACGTATTATTAGTTACATATATACTATGAACACAACTTACAACATGATGTACGACTATTATCCAACCGATTGAAGGTACTCCAACACTACGAAAATGATAAAAAACAAAGTATACGATGAATATTTAAGGTACATGTCAACAAAATAACAATAACTCGAATTGACAGTAAAACGATGAGCAATGAATCAAAAACTTAGTAGTGCATTGTATCAATAGTGCATATTTATATGATCAAGAAATGAAATGGAAAGTGAAAATTGCAAGTGTTTCAAATTTTGAAACCAATAACAAGTGTATTTGTGTATAGTTATTACGTTGAATGAAGTGAATATACACACATATATATACATATAATATAACCCACCTCGGATTCAAAACTCTGAAATGCCATTTCTTTTATGAACATGGTAACCTAATGTAAAACAATCAGGGGAATTCATCAAACAAAGTGTTATTTACACCCGTTTATGATGAATCTTCTCAAAAATGAAGTTGGAAGCATAGAGCATATAATCAATTATTAACAACTAAACAAAACGAAAACTATTTATTGCTTACACCAGTACTGTTAATTGGCATTCCACTCCGATCATTCATTTGATCATCTACAGATGGTGGACGAGGTGCGGGACCTTTTTTACGTGGTAATGTAGCCAGTGCGCTACCATAATGAATTGAAGGTGAATACTGACTGTAAGCTAGACAATAAAGAAGATGAAATGTTAATAATAGTATTGACGTTTTCGGTCACGATAAACATAATGAATGGTAACTTTGGGATCCACTTATGGACCAATAATAAACGTATATTCTTATCGCATGATTGTTAAATAACTAAACTATTCATATTCATATTCATCTTATTATAAGCTTTATTTTGACCTCTGAACCATTATTATACGTTTTACCATTCTTGAATTATGTCGTGTCTATTAGTCACTGCCTCCCACATTCACAGCCACATTTGGCCAAATTTTGTACAAATGTTATTTCCTATTTTATTCTACGTTGTGGTCTGTTTGATTGGTATATAAACTCAGTATGTTTGAAATATAAGCATTCATATTGCTGAGGCTGAGACTGGTGTTCTGGACTTAACTGGCTGGGCTAGGCGGGAAACAGGACCAATCAAGACTCTAGGCTGCTCGCACGTGTTTTACGCGTCCTTGGTCCGGTAGATAATTCGCTGCTTCTGACTGGCGGCTTTGGGCTATAACATGACGTCAATAAGTTTACATGATAATGAAGGGGAGATATTAACTTAAAATTTAATGCAAACTTTTGTGTTGGATGGTTGTCTGATTCTGTTACTTGGATGTATGCTTCCTGTATGAGATCCTAACCTGTTACTGGAACGAGAAGATATATAATGAACAGGAAGCTTTGCTGGTAAATTCGAATCAAAATATTTATACAACTCTCATAAATATAGACATATATACATCGGAAAATTGAGCGAGACATGGACGGATAGAAAGCACCCACTACTCGATCGGATTGGCCCAACTTATTACAAACAAACCGAAAGCACTAGACTTCAACTAATATTAAGTTTTCAAACTCGGTGATGATCAAAATGTGTAATACTCATAATGTAAGCAGATAATGCGTTATGCGTGATAACCACGAACAGCGATTGAGGACGTTGGGTGAGAGCACGGAATTGGTCACAATGGCACATATACATTCATCACTCTTCATCTTACTCTGAACCTTGAGTCCCAGTATTCCTTCACATGTACCATTGCATAACATGTTCTCAATATTTAGTCTTTCTCATTATCACTGCTACTAGATTAGTCCAATATCCTTTGCTATTCATCCTATTAACTTCATTACTTCATGCTAATGTGATTTGACATATTGAACAAGTGTACACATTTATATCAGTTTTTATGTTGATTATGACTAGCTGAATGAGAGATAAGTAGATTAGTATTGAGTCTAAATGTTGATTAAAAATAGTTAATAAGGGGAATATGCTACTCTAACATTTTCAGTTATTTGAATTCTTAACTTGTGAATTATAAACTTAATATCATTTGGTCCAGAATGACTATTCTACAGTGTAAACAACTCAGAAGAAACAATAGCCCACATAACTCCTTCTAACAATACGCGAGATTATCTGGTTTATTATTAAATTCTTCATTCACTTCATAATATTACTTCTATCTCTAATATCGACTTTCCCTCCCCATAGCTTTAACTCTATTTTCGCCAATGCTAATGATTCTTTCAAAAAAACCTAGACGTTCAGACGTCGTAATTGTATCAGGTTAGTTCAAGAAAATCCCTAATAGTTGATTTGAGTCATATGGATAGATATAAACACTGTTTGGTTGGGGTGGAATAGGCATACTAAACATGATCAGTGGTTAAAGATGTTTGTTTTTTGAATCTTAGTGAATAAAATGAGTAAAATATGAGCAGATATTATGTAGATTTGTATAACAGAGTACAAAGGAAAACACTTACATCGTGTAGGTTTATTTAATGAAGTTGGTGTGACACTGTTACCTGTGGTACATATATTTTCATCAAAGGTTATTTGTTTCCCAGTTGAATTTGGTTTCGGTGTATACGATTCACATGGATTACGAGTAGAAATCTACAGTTGTAGTTAATTAATATTTTTTTTTCCAATTCCAGAATGGATGCGCAACACAAAAAAGAAGAGGAAGGTAGATGTAGATGTTATCAAAAAGATTTGCCACATGAAAAAGAACACAATAAGAATCGCATTAACATCATGAACCAATTTAAATTAGATAACTATTAAAAACCTGAAAGAACAGGGCATTTATTTTGCCCTAGTATGGGACCACTCGGCAGCGAGCATCCACAACTGCACAACCGACGATCGAACTCAGGGCCTCCAGTTTTGCGTGCTATAGCCCAGGACCTAATCGTGTGCAAGTTTAACTTCAATCAATCCATGATATTGCGCAATCATCTTCCATTGTCTTTAGTGGGTACCTCAGACACATCTGATATGATTTTAAATCAGCTGGTCACAAATTTTCACTAGAGCTTTGAAAATTTCCCGTCGAAGCAAGTCACTAGTAAGCACATGATAATTGTCAGTATGAGGATGTCAAGACTGCTGAACTTCGGCTAATTCAAATCCTATTAGTCAATGTATTGTGAACAATTACTGATTTGTTTGGTTTATGCAAAAGACAATGAAATAAATGTCAGCTATTTCATAAATTCACGATGATTAAAACTATAAAATCAGTTAATTTTTATAACGTTTACAATCGAAAAAGACATAAAAGAGTAGTAATAGTAGTAGTTATAAGTAGTACAATTAATTTGTTCATTTATTATGAGATTGTTTTGAGATGATGAAGAATGATTTACAGCTCCGGATGAGTATTCCATAAGTATTTCATGTCCAGTTATCTGAATAGTTTAGTAATGAAGATTTTCAATGTCTGTATGCTTCTTTTTTTTAAAAGTATCTGATAATCATATTGTCTGGGAAGACAATAATGTTTTTATGGCTGAACCATACAGCTCAGAGAATGTAAAAAATTCAAAATGTAATAATTTATTAAGCTTAAGGTTATCGTTTCTAGTAAGATTTTAGTACTGTTAACGAAATTTGAGTAAACTTGTAATCGCCTTTATTTATTTGAACATATAAATATTGGTAGAAAGGGGTACCGAAAACATACGCGCCACACAAGTCACTTGGTTTGTGTATGAGCTATGATACTTGCCCAGGTGGTGGTTTTCTTAGGGGACCACTCCTCGAGCCTTTGACCTAGAGATATAAACTACAAAGCAGTGGAGCAACGTGAGGAGATGCTATTTTGTGGTAGCCGGTGACCAGCAATAGATTCATATGCCATTTATTGTCTTAGAATCATGGAGCTCATGTGTTGCATTGATTTGCGATCAGGATTTTCTAACTCCCCTAGGTGGATATTCTATAGCTTCCGACTTCGTTGAAGCGTCAGACATTAGCTTTTCGTCCTCTCATTTATGAAATATTACTCACCAAGTGAGGAGACTTCGCTCTCCTTCTCGAAATGCTCTCATATGGCCACTTATATATAGCATCTGCCAGGGAAGTCCTAACCAGTCTTTTCTAAAACCAGAGGTGTTGTCTAAAAATTGATAAAACAAAAAGCGACTGTCCAGGAGGAGGCTTAAGCCAGGTTGGTGGGTACGGAGCATCCACTCAAAGGATTAAAAAAAACCTGATTTCAAGCTAGTGGTGCACATAATTTTCAGGATCCTAAGAGAACAAATAGCGTATGAACGTATTGTTGGTCATCGACCACCAAGGGATCAAGTTTCCTAACATTGTTCCACTATTTTGTTCGTGGATCAAAACTTCTAGATCAAAGGCTTAGATAATGACTTCTTAAAAAAACTACCTACTTCAATGTAGGCTATCGGACAGTATCCTAACTACCTTTGTGTGATATATATATTTTTTTGTTTAAATAAATAAATATAATAAATTACTCACCAATTGATTAACACATTTCATTATAGGAGACAATGAAAATGTTCCTAATTGATAATTATTACTATGAGTTGTTTCTAATTTATTTGAAATAGGTATATTTGTAATATTTGGTGAACTAGTTGTAACCAATGTATTTGTAGTCATTGTTATTATCTTTTTATCTATATTATCTTTATAGAAATAATGATTTTTTTCATTATTTATGAATTGAACTGTTGATGTTGTCAATAATGTTGTTACTGATGCTGATGATGATGATGGTGTTGTTATGGATGAAATATTTAATGGATACCAATTGATTGAATTTAATTGATTTAATAATTCTATTAAATTATTACGATAATTTGATAATTTATCAATAGATCCATTTGTATTAGAAAATAATGAACTAATAGAATCAGTAATTAAACAATTATTTTTACATGAATTATTAGATGCAATGAAATCAGCTAATTTAAGAATATGTTGACAATTTTTATAAGCATCTAATAACAATATATGATTGTTATTATTATTAGTAGTAGTATTAGTAGTAGTAGTAGTATTTAATTTGTATTGTATTAATGCATTTTCTACAATATCTAATGCTGTTTGACCATTATGATTAGTTAATTGGAGTATCTGTAGAAGATAGAGAGAAGGGGGGGGTGTTGAGAAAAAGAAGTATAAAACACGTACATTCGAAAAAAATTAACTGACTGTAAACAGGTACTCTCACTTGAAATGTAAATCGATTAAGTGCCAGTTATTTATGATAAAGTCAGTCAGTCATCTAGAACGTAGGACCAGGCACATATATGCATCGGTCTAAGTTGACATAACTCAGTAGTACAACAAGATCAAAACCAAATTTATAGAGGTAGTCACTTCAATGGTAGTAATGTATAAAAGAAAGATTGTGTATAAGGATATCGTACAGGAAGAAGGAATTAGTTTGTAGAAAGAAAGATATAAAGCAATTTTAACCTCACGGTTTAAGGGAAGACAGAGAGTGTATACACCTACGTCATTGTGATAAATTGTGAGCCATGTCACAGAGTCTCCAACCATTAGTTACGATAGTCACGTAGACTCCAACTAAGTAGTCTGATGAAAGTAGAGTCCGGAACAAATATGTACTACCATATCACATTTAGACGATGAAATGAAATTTTTTTTAAAAAAAGACAAGTTGAACAAAGAAATAATTCCTTTCAATTAATTCTTCATCAGGGCTCTATGTTAATATAATGGCCACTTTTCACGAACTACTGTACAATATACTCATCCCTTGATGGATAGACAGATAATCCATCTTCGTCATACGTGACGTAAGTTGGCGAAACCCAAACGACCTTTTTGGATCCGTGTTGAGATTTCGCCAGACACTAACCCATTAGGGCTGATCAGACTTCTGAGATAAGTGAAGTTGTCGATGCGTTGGACTACTACACCCTCTATCCCTAGTTCAGGTGTTGATATAGGCCGGTCCTGAAACAAAATTTGCATTTACAGGGGTAGAAACGTATGCCAAACATCCTGGCATTGTTGCTCAATGCTACCAAGAGACTTTGCATTTTATCAGCATCTACACCAAACAGGACTATGTTATCTGCGTATTCTAGGTCAGTGAGTGGACCACCTGGTAGGGGATCAATTCCCGAAAATTCAGACGACGAAAGCGCTATTTCCAGCAGTAGGTCTATGATGAAACTAAACAAAAATAGAGATAGACAGCCCTGTAGGACATCACTTGAGGTTACAAAATCAGATGACAGTTCACCGTTGTAGTCTTCGTGTAAAGAGCCTTTACAAGGTTTATGTATTTCTGAGGTACACCTTTCAATTATAGACAATGCCACAAAACATCTAAATTTACAGAGTTAAATTCTGCTTTTAAGTCACTTCAACAATGTAATCATTAGTTAGTTACACAATGTTTGTAAAATTAAAATTGAAACTAAGGTGCATTTTCGTAATCAGTTAATTATTACAGGTAGTTACATAAGTGTAGGAATCGAAATTGAAATAGGACGTAAACGTAAATGTTTTTTTTGTTAATTGTGAGACTGGTTTCTAATTCTAATTTTACGTAACAGATTTGATAATCTTATTATTTAATTTTCACTGCGGTAATTAATTATAGACCAATTACTCAGTTTTGTTTTACTTATAACTTAATCAAATACACATTGTAATATCTGATATGTATTGTTGTGCAGTCAGGTATTTATTGTATATTATCGAATTTATATTTAGCTATAAAGAATAGAATGGGTCGATTGTTAGTATAAGATAGATCTGGCCGTCGTATTCGTGTACTGAATGATTATTAAAGTAGGTATGTGTTGAACCGTTAGGGATAAGGAATTCGCAGACGTTGACATATTGTGGTCAGAAGAAAGTTATACTGTCACTAGATAGAGAGAATGTCTATGATGCGATTAGACATAAACTGAACAAGTCATTAAACGATACCTATGATCCGACCACTCTATAATTAGTAACCCGATTGTGCTGACAGTAATGTAACAACAATATGAGGTAACAAGCTCGTCGATGTGTTTAGATATCATGAAGCTAGAACATAACAGAAAAAAAATAGATACTTACTGGTGTTGGAATCCCGCCAGCTTGAACAATTAATTTTAATGCATCCACACATCCATAACGAGCGGCATGATGTAGTGCTGTATCACCCAATTTATTGGCACGTTTTAAACTACCTCTTCAAATGTAAATATACAACACAAATATCAGATAAAAAGTTAAAAGAACACTGATAATTGTAGTTTGAACAAACAAAACATTATTTGAGATTTCCCTTAAAGTAGTGAAGTAGATTAAAAAGCGAAATAAAATATATGAAAATGAAACAGATCAACTCAACGCTGGAAGTATCCAATCACTAATCACATGAATATATATAGACTTTGATCTTGATCGGTTATTATTGACACTTGTGCCATATTATTGTTTACATATGTTTTAATTGCCAACCCTTTTGGCTTGATTCTCGAAATGTTAGTTGTCGATGAATCTTTTTTGATCGGCTGTGTTATATCCAAACGAAGAATAAATGAATGGTAACATCTAGGAATTTTTTATGGGCTATTATTATATGTATTCTTATTGGATTACTATTAAGTAACTATATTATATGTATATCCATATTCCTTCTATCATAAGACAGGTTGATAAATTGTATCTTCCCTCTTTTTAATACAGTTTGTAGGTAGTTGAAATATGCCAATAGCTCACTCTTTACTGAACTTAGTGCCAATGATGTGGTATAAAAAAGGACCCGATGATTAAACCACTCTGAGATCAGAGAACGAAACGTTACCAGAATTTCTAGTTATGGGTGATATGATATAAAAGTCGTTCACTCCTGAATATCATGTTAAAGCAATCCTTTTCTTGGTTCTGATTGGTTTATCCCTATACTACATTTTCATTACATGTTTTAGTTCAACGTAAACCCTATAGAAAAAATATTGAGTTTAAAAAAATTGAAACCGCATTTAAGAAATGCAGAAATACATATAGAATTGTACGGATCAATTTCAGCAAGTCACAACCTTAATTTGTGAACAAAGTCAGAGGTCAACTAATTCACAGGCATTTATTAAAAGGGTGTAGCGACTAGGAGTGGAATCAATGAAGTGAGTTTCATCCTATCTGGGGCCCGTAAACCGGATGTACCTGTGTCATAGTGTTGATATTTACGAGAAAACATACGAATGTTTCCAAACTGAATTCCTATCTATTGCATATATCATTAGTAAGCTACTCATTGTTTCAAGTATCCATTAAGTTAATGAGTTAAGATAGTTATTAACTGAATAGATTAATTTAAGTTCTTACACATTAACCTAAAACCGCTGAGTAGATTAGTGGCTATCTAGCTTCAGTAGGCTAAATGGATACCACAATAGTTGTTTAAAGTGAAGTTCAAGTGAACATCGACACTGGGATAAAGAAAATATGTCCAGCTTTAAAAATCCAAGTAGGATGAAACTTGAGTCCTGGATTCCACTACAGGCCACAATCCACCTTTATTATTTTTTTAAAATCTAGTAACTTAATAGTAATATCAAAGATACACAAATACCAATATAAAAACTGATCAATTCCAGTCCTTAATAAAAAACGGTAGGAAATTACGATACAATTTAAATAGAATTCATAAACAGTTTACAATAGCTTACTCATACAACATGCAATAAACACATACATACACACGACATCACTATTCATCCATTCAAAGTGGGGGGAAAAAAGTCAGTTGTAAAATGAGAGAAAAGGAAGGATCAACAGCCCCCCCTCTTCAAAAAGAAAACAACATCGGGTCAATTTATAAAACAGTAATATATATACAGGAAAATTTTTTTTCAAAAACAACAAAACAAGTTGTCTATAAATAAACAAAAAACATATCGAAATGTATAAATGCGCACATATACACACATAATACACTTGTAAGTGAATTCGTAAATAGTCTCTGTGTATCTAAAGCCTGTGTTTTACATTTACGAAATCGAGGCGATGATTCATTACCACTAATCAAATGTTTTGCTTAAGGGAAAAAAAATGCACAATGAAAATGTGTATTAAGTGTAAGAATGAAAATATCCTAAAGTATGAAGTAGGGGATGATTATCGCTGGTCATTCATGAGTGTTACATCTGAACGAAGAAAAAGGTGAATGGTAACTATTACTACATACATCCTTATTGTATAACTATGAAGTAACTGTATTATATGTACATATATATTCCTTTTATTATAAGCTTTCATTTGACCTATTGGCTACTGCTGTACGAACTACTGTTCTTGAGTAATTCCAAATCATTTAGTTACAGTCTTTTGTACTCACATCCACTTTTGACTTGATCTTGTACAATTATCATATTCTGTTTCATGGCATGATGCGGTATGGTCTGCTTGTATATAAACTACGTATGTCTGAAATATATACGATTCATACAGTGGAGGCTGAGATTTTGTTTTACACTCAAACGGGCAGGGCTAGGTGAGAGGGACCAATTAGGATTCCGAGTTGACGTATAGCTGCTCGTGCTGCCTAACTGTCTGTCAACCAATACAAAATTCGGAATCTTCAATACGAACGTCACGACAGTTCTACTTTATGGAATTGAAATATGGAGAACTACTTCACCCACCATCAAAAGAGTGCATACAATTATAAACGATTTTCTACGTAAAATATTCCAGATCCATAGGCCAGACACCATCAACAACAACCTACTTCCAAGTCAAAAAGAAAGTAAGAAAAGACGCTGTAGGTGGATAGGACATACATTACGGAAATCATCAAGCGGAATCACTAGGCAAGTGCTAACTCGGAATCCTAAAAGCGAAAGTCAAAGAGGAAGACTAAGGAGCACATTGCGTCAAGAATCGGATGCAGACATCAACGAATGAATAGCGACTGCAAACAACTAGGAAGGGGAGCTCAGGACAGAGTTGCTTGGAGAATACTCGTCAGCGGCTTTTGATCTCCACGAAAGGTAACAGGCGTAAATAGTATCACACCAGTATAGAATTATGAATTGAACTTTACAGTAGCAGTTTATCTACTTGTTGTCATCTTGTTCTATACTGAATATCGAGTAAGCAAGTATGAGAGAAACTGTATCCTGAACTAAAAGGCACTAAGTATTGATCTCAATTGTCATCTCACTATCCTTAGGTAATTGATCAAAAGAAAATGATTGGTCTTATACAGATAATCTACAAGAATTAATCAATAATCGGACTATATAAAACTCTACTCAAATAATAATGACCTGATCACACAAGACTCAATACCATTTAAGTACATCTATGATTTTTGACATTACACATACAACAAAGGAATAATAAAAACAGAAAAACAAAAGAAACGGGATGAACTCACGATGAAGAATTTTGTAAGATGAATTCCACTAATGGTAAATTATTATGTGGTGATTTCTCAAAGTCATGATTATCAATTACACTCCATGTGGTTGCTTCACGATTACTACTATTATCAAAATTTAAAAATGATTCAGTTATTTGTTGTTGTTGTTGTTCACTTAAATCGGATACATTAACCTTGTTTTCATGAGAATAATTTAATCTGGATTTTATTAAAAATCTACTAGTTTTCTCAACAGCTATATGTAATGCAGTTGTTCCAGGCAAAAGTGAATAAGAATCATCATCATTATCTTCTGGTTGAAATGGTGTCATAAGATCTAGTCGTTCAGCAAATACCTATGAACAGAACGAAAAAATAATGAAGTGATGAATTACAATGACTTGATTAATTCAATAATCAGTAAGCATAATTGAACCATTTAGTTATTATCAACTTAGAACCTGGTAAATATGTGCTTGACCAAAGTTAAATAGTTGAAATTACGTAGTAGTGTTGAACACTGAGAATATGGTTCGCGAAGACAGGAAAAAAGAATGCATGAAGGAATATTAAGACACGAAGAGTTATGTCACGTTTTAGTTTGGTTGTCCCTAAATCTCTTTCAAATAGTAGTTCACGTTACAGGAGGACCTCATCAAATGTGGGCGGATTGCCCCGAAAGAATTATTCAACAAAAATAATCTACACGATAAAATATATGGAAGCAAAGAGAGGAGTTTGAATCGAAAACTTATGCACTGTCCTGGTGAGGTATTGTAAATCCACCAATTCAAACCTTAAATTTGCATGCCGAAGCAACACGTACAACCTTTCATTCGTCCATGAGCTTAATTCTCTTCTGCAGTACATCTTGGTCTTAATTTTGTTTCTATAATTACTTTGTACTTCTTTAAAACTGTTATTTTAAGCAGAGATGGATAGTGAATAGGAGTAGAATTCACAACGCGCCGTTTCGTTCCATTTTTGTTTCGTCAGCTTGATTTACCTACCACATCCAAGAGTTGACGTTCACTCTTAGATAAGAATATATCCATTTAGCTACTGAGTTCAGATAGCTACTGCCTTGTTCAATGGAATGAATTTTCATTACATTTGTTTGTTTCTCCCGATTTTTGTTTAGAACTGTGATCAGTTATGATTTATCCTCTAACAAATTCCCGTGATTATTGTTTAATTGCTAAGTGGACAATTACCACACATATTTGTGACCTGTAAAATATTTTCACTTCCTCCTATCCTCTAACCGATCACAATCAGCATGGAAATTTTTCTTTTGGTATTTGAAATCACAAATCACTATATGATGTAAACTCTTTTTTATTCTTCTACGTACTCATATATTTATCAAACAATTAAACATAAGAATATGAAGCTTAAGTAAATGATTTTATAGGAAGCATTGATTCGAGTTGGACTTTTACAAAGGTTGCATACCGATTCCATGGTGAAGCGTCTTTGATCGAGACCTAAAGTCTTGGATTCGAGTCCCGCATGCGATACCGTAGCCGTGCAGTCCCTTACTAGGACGAAACAGCCGTCCGGTGCTTCCAGTTTCTCAATGGTAGTCTAACTTAAATCGGTTTACAATGAACGTTTTTTCTTCGCTGATTTCTCCCTGATTTTTATTAATTTATTGACACAATGAATTACAATAATTATCGATCAGTTATCATTAATACTAGTCATCATCTTACCTGAATAAGTAATGATAAATTACCGGTTTTTACTGCTCTTAACAGATCACGTCTTAAAAATCGTTCTGCAATAGGATCACGAGTAGTTGAAATATCATCTGAGAAAGATTTATTATTGTTCGTATTATAATCTAGTGAATTCGATGTTACAATTAAAGAATCCGATGTTGTTTTCGTGATAAAACGTCGATCAACATATTTTGATTTAATAAAATTACGTCTTTGTGTCATTCCATCAGTTGGATCACTAAAAATTAAAAAAAAGTAATAAAATTATTCAAATTGAAGATTGTTATAACAGATGGTTTGAAATATTTCGCTCTCTCTCTTTAGTATACTACGATATTACGTTAATACGACAATAAGAGTAGTTACGTTATATCAGATCCAGAAGAGAGAACCAGAGTATAAACTAAATAATACAGTGAGACTAAAATATATATACAACCTTTGAGTGGTGTCTTAGGGACCTTGAGAATATCCACCTACTTACTAGGGCTAAATGAGGGTTATAACATAGTGTGAGGAATTAGAAGCTGAAGTATATTTGATTCCTTTTCTTAATTTGTATTAATGATATCATTAGTGCTTGCCCCGTAATGTATGTCTTATCCACCTACAGTGTCTTTTCTTATTTTCCTGTTGACATGCAGGTTGGTTTGTTCTGTCACAGCAGGATATCGTTGATTGTGTCTGGCCTATGGATCTGAAATATTTTGCTTAGAAAATCGTTTATAATTGTATGCACTCTTTTGATGGTGGTTGTAGTAGTTCTTCATGTTTCAGCTACATAAAGTAGAACTGTCATGATGTTCGTATTGAAGATTCTGAATTTGATATTGGTTGAGAGACAGTTGTTTCGAGTCGCTTATGTACATCAACTGTTGGAATGGTGTCCTTGCTTTGCGATGCTTGCCTTGACGTCTGCATCAGATCTCCCACGTTTGCCGATGGTGCTGACCAGTTACGTGGAAGTTTCCACCTGTTCCATAATTTTTCCATGAACTGTGATTGGGTTGGTGCATTCCGTGTTGTATTTAAAGATCTTGGTCTTTCCCCTGTGTATGTTGAGGCCTATTGATGCAGAAGCTGCTGCTACACTGATTGTTTTCACACACATTTGTTTGTGTGTAGGGGAAGTCTGGTGGGTTCAGTTGAGTTAGTGTATTCAGGAGTTCATCAAAGTGTCCTGCCCACCTGTTGTGCTGTTCTTGAATTTCAATGACTGGCTTGCCTTCTTTGTTCTTGACTGGTCACACTGTTTTACAATGCTTCTTTGCTAGTTTCTTCGTTGTATCATATAATTGTCTCATAATTCCATCTCTAGCAGCTTTTTCCACTGTCATTTTCACTGTCATAGGTCTTTCACGTACTTTCGCATGTCGGCTCTAATGTGCCTCTTCACTTGCATGTTTGCTTCTGTGTATTCGGTCTATGACTTGGCTTTCTCTACTTTTGTTCATTTCTTAAATCCTGCCTGGGGTTTAGATAGAGATGCATTCTTTATGATGGAGCTTTTTTCAGCTCAGCACCTGGCACGTTGAGGTTAGTGCTTCATAACGAAAGTGAATAATCAAAATGGCTTTATTCCTTATTCATTACCTCAAGATCTCGGACCCTATTTATGTATAATATTGATTTTCCAACTCTCCTTCCTAGAGGGACTCTTCAAACCCATCAACCAGGTCTAAGCGATGGAATTTCATTTCTCGTCCATTTAGTTTTATAAGCAACAACCGACAGTGCAGGAATGCAGGAAGTAGGACTTTCACGACAGGGACGTAAAGGCGCATAACCGCATAAGAGAGTTTTGACAGGTAGAGTTTACTGTCCTATCCGGGGATTCAGTTATAATAAATAATATGAAAATTATTTTATCTTCTCCTATTTGTCTTTCATTTAAAAGATTTTATGGACAGAGCCAAAAGAATGAAAACTAATAAATTTATTTTCATAGAAGAAATAATACAGGTATGCTTAAGTATATAACAAAACATTCATATTTCAAATTCTACTTACGTAACAGAATCTAAAGCGTTCGGTTTACTTTCTGCAGGCAAACTAGACTCATATACACTATTAAAGAGTTGATTCCCGATGAATCGAGGTAACTGAAATAATCGGGAGAAAAAAAGAGGCAAGATCCGAAATAAGTACAATTACAATTATGAACCAATTGTTGGTAGAATTTTAAACTGAATTGGAATTCAGGACGCGCGTTTCGTCCCACTTGGGACTCGTCAGCTGAATGTTCCTGCATCTTCGAGTCGATTTCCACTCTGAGACTCGAACCTAGTACAATTCGCTCGAAACGCCATCGCGTTATCCACTTAGCTACTGAGTCCTGATAACCATCTTCTTGTGCAATGTAGTGAAGTTTTAAATTCACTTGATGTTCTTTACTTGTACCTTACCACTGTTATTTAGGTCTTAAATAACAATCAGGTGGCTATCAGGACTCAGTAGCTTAGTGGATAACGCGATGGCGTTTAAAGCGAACGGTACTAGGTTTGAATACCAGAGTGAACCTCAACTCCGAGATGCAGGTACATCCAACTGACTGGTCCGAAGTAGGACGAAACGAGCGTCAAACTGGATTCACTGTTAGCCACTATCCATCTTTGCTTATAAAGCTTGTAAACTAAGGCAATATCGAGGCAGTCCGCACAGGATGCACATAACCCAATAAGAGACTAGTTAACTGCAGTCCTAAATAACAATGGGAAAATACAAGTAAACAACACCAAGTGAATTTATACTGGATTGTTTCAAAATTTAGGCGGATTTTTAAAGAATATTTAATAATTGCAAAAGAGTTTTGGTACGGACAGTACAACTGTGGGTATTATTGAATTGAATCGTAGTTTGGACAAAAATTAATCTGGACCAACTACTTATAGTCTAACAGTGCAAATATTACAGAAAACCTTCCCAATTGAAACTTATTATATTTAAAGAAATAAAAATGAATGCTAACTGTGTCAGTAATCATGAGATACGTTTTTTTCTCTAAACAATAAAATTCTAGTAAATTACGACAATGGTAGGTACCAGAAAGTTATAAATGGCAACACTATGATTGTAAACATCTTTCTCTTCATTTCTATCTCCTTTGAAGTAAAGAAGGTTGGAATACATTGGAATGTGTGAATCAATACTCTCCCTAAATCCTAAACCTAAATCGTTAATCCAAAAACAAAACAATCCAGTAATCCTATATTTTATGAACGAACTAATTACACAGAATTCATCAATTCATACAGCTATAAAGCATTTTGGCATGTTAGTTGAGGCGAAATCCTGATGAAAACTATTACCCAAAATCTCTAACTCTTACTAAAAACAATTCAGGAACTCTTAAAAATTTATTTAGGTCCATTTAATGGTTTGAGGAGATGAAGATCTATATACAAGTGAATAAATTTATAATCTTTTGTTGTTGTTGTTTTAATTACAGATCGAGGAACCTGTAGAAGACTTTAATAGGTTCATTAATTATGTGAAATCTTTTTACGCTCTACAATATCATTGATTTTTTTCTAGAAACTATGGATCTATAAAAACTGCTTTCTGGTTGGCTAAAAACTGGTCGAAAATTTATTGCTCACTCTTAAGCGACTCACTTACTGGTAAACTTTTATGGGTACTCAAACGGCTAACGCTCCATCGTTGTCTATAGTCATGTACTGTAATCACAACAAAATTCATTATCTCCACTAATGACCTTATACAAATTAATTCCTCTACTTGATCAAAAAGCACTCGATCGAAATCAGTGCATTGATTAAATGTGGGTTTGTGAATGTGCACTACCGAAGAGAAGTCCAATGCTAGAACGAAACGGCTGTCTGGTGCTTCTAGGTTTTTAATGATGGTCTAATCTAGATCGGTTCAGGATTTTAGTGTCTATACGGTTTAACCGTATATTTATTTTATGACACCCATAAGCACACATCTTTAAAACGCCATATTTATTTTACGAAACCAGTATACAATATGAAGTCAGCGTATGAACTAGAACAGAATTTAATTAGGATTGTTTATTAACCAGGATTCATTCAGTACACCAGTTTTTTTTCACTAACAGAATGATTTGTTTCCCCTCGATATGGGATATGATCAATGGAAGCTTTCAAACAAATATTGTAAGTAGACGCATTGATGTATAGAGAATAAATAATTACATAAGTCAAAAATACCAGTAGACTGGTAGACCAGAAATCTATTAGGAGATAGAGCATAAAGTGATAATATACCAGTATATTCTAACTAGTTTTTCGAAGAAAATTTTTAATTAAACTGTAGAAAAGAATTGAAACAATATCAGGAAGGCCTGTCACGGTGCAAAAAGTGAGTACAACGTTGAGACTAATTGACAGTTACGTACTGCTACCGTTAGCTAGAAATTCACTGATTTAAATATGTAACTTCAAAAAAAAACACCATGAAACAATTTGTTGTGAGAGTACACCTAGAGTTTTTTTGTTATCTAGATTAGAGCCGGTTATTAATTCATCACATTTACATTTGATAATAGGATGAGTTCGTTCTCCCTCACGAAATTCTCTTATACACAGCCATGTATCTATAGTCCTGCTCAATGCCTATATGCAGTGGGAGTGTTATTTACGAAGTTAAGGGAGGAGAAACTGAACATTAGGCGTTGACATTGGGGTGATGGATATAGCTGGTCCACATCTAGAGAGGGAAATTAGAAAACCAATAGTGTACATTGTATCCAAGATCTTGAGAGAACAAATAGAGTATGGAGCAATTTCAAGTCATAAGTTACAATGGGACGGTATCTCGTGACGTTACTTTACTACCTTGTTGATTAGACCTGTCTGAGTGAAAGAAATGGAGAGTGGCCTCTTGGGAAAACGTCAATTACTTTGGTTTGGTTACTCGAACAGTATCCCAGTTTGTACACACAAAATAATTCTACGTGCGTATACTATATTTAGAGCCAGATTGTCCCACATTTTATGTGAATTACATAACTAATAGTTCTTACTATGATTTTATTGTTATCAACTAGTTGAAATATTCTTTCTTTTGAAAACGACCTAACAGAATAGGTAAGAAATTAAGGAACATTGCCCCCCTGGTACGGCCCAAGGTGAGGACAGTCCTCTCTCTCTCTCTCTCTCTCTCGAAATGCCTTCACATAGCCACGCGTATACAGCTACTGTCATGGAAGTCCTACACACTGCCTTCTGGCGGCGGGGGTATTGTTCACGAAGTTGAGAGCACGAAAAGCGAATGTAAAGCGCTTTACACGGGTTAGTGGAAATGGAGAATTCACCTAGGGGAGTTTGAAAACCCTGATTTCAAACCAATGGAGCCCATAGACTCCAAAATCCTGGGACCACAAATGGCGTATGAACCTATTGTTGGTCACTGGCTACCATGAAATAACATCTAACGTTGCTCCATTGCCATGTGGATTGGACCTCTAGGTCAAAGGTTCCGGGTTTAGCACCTTGAGAAAACCACCTACTTCGGTTTGGGCAACCGGACAGTATCACTGCCCTCAAACAAATAGAATTATGAAGTGTGACACGTATCTATTTGGTGCCTCCTTGTACAAATGCTTGTATTTAAATGAAAAATAAATAAAGAACATTTAAATAAATTAAACAAAAACGATTGTGATATAACTTACCAATAGTTGATTAGTCGATAATTCATCCATCAATAATGATTGAGTACGTGAATGGTGTACACCTAATTCTCGATGTGCACCACAACATTCCAAACAAATTAATATACCTAGATTTACACTAACCCATTCGGGATCTTGTAAATCAACAAACAGGATGGGAAAGGTGAAAACAATAGAAGAATACAATTGACCACGGTTTTTAAAATAATTTTAAAAAGTGTATAAGACTGAAATAATGAAATAAGTTGATCAAATTTCGAAAACTTCATCAGGAAATTCTACACATGAAGTATAAATCAGATAAATTCTGCAGTTTCTAAGACGATTTCGACGGACTTATCCAATGTTTTAGAACCAAAAAATTGCACGAACTGAATAATCAGAAAATAGGGATGCATTGATTTAAGTAAATACAACTGTATCCCTATACTCTTAAGACTTTCAATCACTGATTAACGACATAGAAGGAGGAATGATTTTGTCATGATCCTCTTCGTTTGTGTAAAAGGATTTGCAGTATCACCTAGAATTCCGGAATAAATGTTTGTCTTATAATAAAACGAAACAAAAAAGTAAGTTTAATCTATTAACTAATTACTAATTGATGTTTGCACCGAGCCTCGAACTCAGTACCTTTTACTTTAAACGTCAATTGTGCGATTGAGTCCAGGTAGTACTCTAACTTGACCAATGAATCCAACTGCTAGCTACAATCTATCTATACTAAATGATTTTTGCTAAAAATGACAATATGGAAGAAATCTACACGGGATACATACAAATCAACAACGATTGATAGAAATTCAGTCTTCAATGTCAGTAACGAGATAATTCGAACCTTTATTGGTAACGATTTAAACACGATATTATTTAAACAAACGGATGTTTTCTGCACTAAATAGCTCAGTGGATAAAAACGTTAGTATGTGAAGCATATGCTAATTATTCTAAAGTCAATGGATGCAAATGAAGATCACCATAAATTTTAATTACTTACATCGAATAACTTAATCAGTCATTTATACACATAGTAGAACCTCACACAAATATACAGTATCACATAAATACATCGAAGACAAGCCTCAGAGTATAAGAAGTAGTAACATTATTGGAAATAAAAATAGCGGCAATGGAAAAAATTGTGTATAGAGGAAAAAAACTGAGACGAGATTTTAGGACTCCGGTTCGGAAGGAATGAGTGAGCCTGAGATATTGTGAAGGATTAAGAGTCATGTCACCTAAAGTTTCTAGTTGTTGATTGCGATAATCACGCGGACCCTCACTATGTAGTCTGAAACAACTTACACAACTCAGTTCAAATGTTCATGACTTCATCTACTGCTACTACAAACTGATCTAACCACACCAAATTGCTCGTCGACGAAAATAGTGGGTAACAAATGCCTCAACCATTTCAGCTGATGAAGATTTACTACCTCATCAATCGTTTTGGCATATTTACACAATTCTATGACTAACCTCAGCATTGCTAACTTCCTGAAACTAAAATACACAAGTAATGCTTCAAAGACATCTATGATTGAATATTAGTAACCTACGAATATCCTATACTCTTGATGTCCAAGTCTAACACAAATAACGTAGAACGAGGTGGACTAATCAGCAGCAAACTCGTCTCTCAGTTACCAAACGGATATCTCGCCAACTCCACAAGAGACCCAAACCAAAAAACGTCATTCAAGCTCTCTGATTTCATGTCGAGATTTTCTCAAACATCAACCCACAAGGGCTGGTGAGACTTCCAATAAAAATGAAGCTGTCAATGAACTCAACTGCTTCACACGCAATCACTAGTTTCGGCATTGATACAGACTGACTCTGAGGCAACATTTCACATTTAGAGAGAATGAGGAAAAAACACATCCTATCAGGTAATAAATAAACTATTTACGAAGATATTTAAGAAAACATGAATAATGTAGCGAATAAATTATCAACTTAACAAAATTTACAACTAACCAGGTCGACCACAATCAGCGCATACTTCATTACCAGGTGCACAGAATCGTAAAGAAGATTGAATTAATGATTTTGATGGACGCCCTTTAGATTCAGTCGCATTAATACCATCTGTTGAAAAAGCATCTGCACTATCTAAGTGACTTTCACGTGAACGACTAATTTGTGAACCGCTAGTGGAAAAAAAAGAAAACAATGACAAATCAAGTAATTAATACATATATACGATTTATAATTGTTACATATCATATGTTTTAAGGTAACTTTGGCTAATATTCTGATAAAAGTGTCGTGTTTTGATAGATGAAAACTGTATCTCAAAAGACAAAGTCAGTGAATTTTTTCTCAAAATACTAAGAATTTGGAACACAAAGAAGTTGCAGACTCATTTAGTTAACAAACTTGAGTAGAATGATAACCGTTTTTTCTTACCAGAAATAGGGGTTATTGAAATTACCGAATTTGATTCTGATCATAAACTAATTTAAGTTTAACAACCATCGAAAACCTAAAAGTAATGGAAGTCCATTTCATCCTATCATAGGACTCCTCAATGGCAATGTTCGTCCATGACCCTGTAACTGGGAACCGAGCTCAGGACCTACGGTAGACAACTGTATCACATACGACACAGTCAAAATCCAATGGTCATGACATTACACATTAATTATCAGTACAGGGGTTTGTAGAGATTGTTGAAGGTTACTGAGATCACAAACTGACCTAAGTTAAACAACGAATCAATGAATTTTCTAGAATCTACGTAATTATTTTTCACATTACTTTAAAAGCAGGCTATTACGTTTATTTACACCTGTCAACTCTCATGGAGGCATAAGCCGCCGAACAGGATTCGCAAAACAACTCTGTCTTGGAAAATCCTTTCCGAATGCCATTTATTCTTCTGATGTTTACCTCCGATTCTCGACTCAATGTGTTCCTTAGTCTTCCTCTTTGCCTTTCGCCTTCAGGATTCCGAGTTAGCACTTACCTCGTGATTCAGTTTGATGATTTCCGTAATATATGTTCTATCCACCTCTAACGTATTTTCTTACTTTCCTGTTGACATGCAAGTTGGTTTGTTCTCCGCCACAGTAGGTTGTTGTCGATGGTGTCTGACCTATGGATCTGGAATATTTTGCGTAGACAATTTTTTATAAATGCGTGCACTCTTCAGATGGTGGTTGTAGTAGTTCTCCAAGTTTCAACTCTGTACAGTAGAACTCTCTTGACGTTCGTATTGAAGATTCTGACTTTGATTTTGGTTGAGATTACGCATTAGTGAGTTCGATTGCGAAACGTTCTTAGAAGTATGAGTTCAGGCATCGCGATAAGAAAGTCGGGTCAACCCATTTGCCAGGTGTAGATTTATGAACTTGACTTCAAGTCACACTCTAGGTACATTTGATCAAGCCAAAGCAGAGTGGGTTTTGAACCCGTGACTTAGTGGCTGAAGGTCAGACACCTTAATCAGTGAACCACCGCTCGGTACATAATATTTCACAAAAAGAGTGGTCTATTGATTGGAGCAGTTAAGTTCTAACCGTTATAACACTGATTCGATTTATGCCAAAAAAAATTCAGTTTCAATATTCCGAAAGTATTACTAGTTTACATGCAAAGTCGGGTACATAAACGAGTGAACATTAAATGAGTAACATCAAATATGAAGATTACTAAGACCCCATACAGAAGTACATAGGTTTGAATCATATTTAGAAAAACATTCACAAGATCAGTCAACCAATTAAAGTAGAAATCATACTTCTATTTCATACACATAGAATTTGGTAAATTTGGGCACCATGACTAGTATGCACCGCACAATTCAGTGGAACAATGTAAGAAGATGCCGTTCTATGGTAGCCGGTGGTAACTGTGAACTGGTTTACATATTATTTCTTCCCTCACGATCTCAGACCCTTTTTATGTACGTTGGTATGTTTGGAGTCAGGGTTTTCTAACTTCCCTCTCTGGGTGAACCAGTTTCGGTGTTGAACATTCACTTTTCGTCATCTAAATTCCCTGAGCAACACTATCGTCACGTGAACATAGTAATTTAAAGCTACCTGGTAGAGGCTATAAACCCATGATACACAAGTAATTGAGACAAAACACGTAAAGATAAATTTACATACTAACAAAATTGAAAAATATGACAAGATGATAAAAAACAAGTTTTATTACTATTACCTAGAATCTAATAAATCATTTTCACTTCCTGGTAGACTATCCCCAAAACTATCAGATTTCATATGTTTCGAGGGATTATTATTCATGGGACTATTACCTTGACCAGTTAAAGTTGAATAGACTAAATCCATATCGGCAGCCAAGCTATCACCATTAGTAATATTACATTTATTAGTGCTTATGGGACGATTCGATGATAAATTCAGTGTTGTTTCAGATAGATCACATTGTGAATTTGTATAGTTTTCACCATTCATTGCTTTGTTAAATTCTTCTTGCATTGCATTATTTAAAATACTTATCCATCTATAATTAGAAAAAGAAATATTCGACAATAGTTAATCAACACTGTTTATTCATTTGTAAAGACTTGTATTTTCACCCCAGTTATTGATGTTAAGAAATGAAATTAAACAAAGCTTTATTAAGACAATTCATATTGGTTACTACGTAGGGACTAGTGGCTCAGTGGATAACATGTTGAGTATTTGAATCGAAAGAGATTAAGTCTCAGGTTTCGATATGAACAACAGTACTAGGATATGACAGGTGAATCATCCAGCTGAAGAGTTCTTAATGAAACAAAACGCAATTCGTGGATCCCACACTGCTAGACATTATCCAGTTTTATGGAAGATTTGTGTTTGGCAAGTTATTGAATGAAATGGATGGATTACATGCTTATATGTTAAAGACTGAGAGGATAAAAATGGAACTATAAGTTTTCTTTTTTTACTTATAGCTGTTTGTTTAACTGTAAAGTAAGTAATAAAAACAAATATACACACAACAGAGATATTACTACTGCATGATATATTTATTGATTACATTAATAAGCGGTAACAATAGAATCGATAATCTAAAGCATTAGAGGATATTATTGATCACAGAGTGACAGAAATCAATCTGACTCTGTTACGTAAAACACAGATTAAGAAACGTATATTTTCATTAAAATCATGAACCGACTAGTGATAGATCACCACTGAAAGCCTGAGAAACAACGGACATGCGTTTCGTTTTAGGATGAGACTCTTCGGTGACAGTGCGTATTCACGGTTCCGCGCGCGGGAATCGAACTCATGACCTTCGGTTTCACATGAGAACGCCTGTGTCCAGTGGATTCAGGTTTCCAATGGTGGTCTAACATTGATAGATTGGTCAATTCAATGAAACTTAACAATCCCCACAACACTATACTGATAAAATTTTTTTGTTAATACTCACTCTTCGTATTCTTGTTCATCTTCTGCTTGGAAGTTATATGTTCGACTATCTATGAAAGTTATGGGAGGAAGAAAAAATGGTATTGCAATGATTTTCACAAATTTAAACTTCTGAACAAACCACTTAATTACCTGGGAAGCAATTCATAGATTTCATGATAAGTTGTGAAGTGATTTATATCGAGAAAAGAGTTGTTTGGAGTTATAACAGAATGTCATGATAACTTATGTAGTCAGTGGAAATGTACAAAATGAAAGGATCTTCCACAAACTATACTGACATTTGGGTTAGTTAGTTGGAACATTGACTAAAGTCCGGAAGGGTGAAAAATCGAATTGCCACTCGGTTTGTTTAGATAGTTATCGAATATCCAGCGCTTTAACCAGGTTGGTGTATATGCAGGATTCACCTATAGCAGTTGGGAAACGCTGACTTCAAACTAATGGTGCACATGATCTCCAGGATCCCGAGACAACAAATGACGTGTGAACTTATTGTTGGTCACCAGCTACCATGAGACTGTACCTCCTGACGTTGCTCCACTGCCTTGTGGATTGGACCTCTAAGTCAGAGGTTGGGGGAGTGGTTTCCTGAGTAAACCACTTGCTTCAGTTTGGGCATCTAGGGGTATCCCAGCACTTACACAAGTCAAATGATGAAGTGTGGCGCATATGTATTTGGTGCCTCCTTGTGCCAATATTTATGAGTTTAAATAATATTAATAATATTGTCCTAATAGTAGTGTACTGATCTAAAACCTTCGTGAGGCTTAATCTTGCATGACATGAATTGTCTAAATCCAAATTGTATATGACTACTTAGTTTATATGAGAATTACATACAACAAATTTTCACATGTCATAATCTGAGCATATTTCAGACAGTCATAATCAATGCAAAAACTGGCATATATATGAAACGACTCACATTCCCACACCATACATCAGCAAAGAGAGATGAAAGTCAAAGCAATAACCGTAGTAGTAATAGTACTATCGGTGATAGCTAAAAACGATTAGGCACACATAACATGAATAGAGGAAAATGAATAAATTCGTGGAGTAAAAAGCATATGATAATTTTAAAACTGAATAGATTTGCTCCGTTGTGAACGATGCTGAATCATGTCACTCATCGCCTTCAATCACTGGTTACGTTAATCGTGAGGACCCAAAAACGGGTAGTCTGTGATGTCTGTTACTCAGACGTTTACTATTGACTTTCTAAGCGCTTTCTATGTCCCTAGACTACTCCTACACTTGGAAGCAAACAGTAATGAAAAAGCGTAAAGTAAGGATGGAAACTTAACTTGAAGGTCAATCTGTGTAGAGAAAACAAGCTGATTTATTGATTTATAAATGACCTTTAACTCCGAGAAGCTTATGGAAATACACCGAATTTAGTGTCAAAAAAACAGTTGTTCAGTTAAAATGTTTCTGATATGTTTCTACTTGATGTTGATTGAACCAAACATTTTTATCCTTCTCTAAACACTTTCAGACCTAATCGAGGAAGTATTTGGGGTTTCCCACAATCTGCACCTGTGAAGATGACTTAGACCAAGAATCAATGAGTATATTTCACTCCTATTCAACATGTGAACAAGTTTTGACGGTGCTTTTCGGCACAGACTTGTTTGCGCGACCTGTATCTTCAATAATTTTGATTATCCATGTGAATAAACAATTACAAGATAGATGGGAATGTTGGAAATAATTAATTACAACCTCTGAGACTTTAACAAATATAATTTCATATTTATTGCTTTGATATATCACTTTTTGAATGTTTCATTTTGTTTTAAATTTGTTTATTTTCCGCCGTTTTCAGTTACATCTTTAATAATGATGCCAGTTAATACTACTGTTTTCGATCAACTTTTTTTGTATGCTAAACTGTATCACAGCATGTTTTTGTCAAGTACACTACGTTTTTATTCTGTTTGCCCCTAGAATTCTATTGGCTGACAGCCCTTTTGTAATCATATCGATAAGATGTCACTCACCTAACGAGCACAGGTTTACGCACTACTAATCTTTGAGCCACAATATTTATATGAGAAGTTAATGGTATTACCCGGCTGCTGAAACCAAACTAGGAGTTAGTTTTCAAACATGTAACCAATTACTAGTTGAAATTCAATTGCTTTAACCACTACGCTACTGAATTCAGTCAGTCAAGAGCTACGTTAGATTTGAAGCATGTATACATCGCCTCAATTTCCTATACCCTACTGACACAGTGAGATGAAATTTTCAGGGAAAATCCCACAGTACTAGAGGCAGTAATAGCATTAGCGATAATAGGAAAGAATATGCATAGAATATACGATTGGAGAACCTACCCCTACACCAGCTATCACCGCGAATCGAAGTAAATGGTATATGGGCACACGTAATACATGTCCTAACTATCTAAGTCGATAAAGATTCACCACCTCGTCGGTCAATGTGGCATATTTACACACACTTCCGTGTCTAACCTCAGCACTGCTAACTTCCTGAAACTAAAATACACAAGTAATGCTTCAAAGACATCTATGATTGAATGTTAGTAACCTACGAATACCCTATACTCTTGAACGAGGTGGACTAATCAGCAGCAAACTCGTCTCTCAGTTACCAAACGGATATCTCGCCAACTCCACAAGAGACCCAAACCAAAAAACGTCATTCAAGCTCTCTGATTTCATGTCGAGATTTTCTCAAACATCAACCCACAAGGGCTGGTGAAACTTCCAATAAAAATGAAGCTATCAATGAACACAACTGCTTCACACGCAATCACTAGTTTCGGTGTTGTTGCAGACTGGTTCTGAAGTAACATTTTGCATTTAGGTGGAGATAAACGCTACTGTTCCAGTAATTATATCAATAATGAAAACCATAACTATAGTAGAATATGGCTGATGAAATAAGACTAGAATAATGTTATATTTACTTGAGACAAGATCAAAGTAAAGTTTTCCTTCTGAAGTTGTTGAGTGTTGATTACCACCACCACCACCACCCCCAGTACTATGATTTAATATTGAATCATTATCCACAGATTCCGTAGGTAATTTAACTTGACAAGTGAGTAAAGTTAGGCGTACAGGTGGTTTACTTTCATCTGCATGATACAAACATAATTCCCCATCAGCAATGTGTACACGACGACGTTGCCAAACACGTTTAACCTGGAAGAAAAAAAGACAGAACAACAATGATTTCATACAAAATAATAATGTGTGTATATACGTTTGTAGTTTAGTCAGTAGTTTATACATTTAGTAAAATAAAAGACAATTAGAATTAAATTAATTCATTCACCAAGTACTTGGATATGAAGCACACACTTTAACTGTGGATGGTTGATTTATGATACTTACTATCTCAATTGGTTAAACCGTAGTGGGATTTGAAAGCTGAGGACTAACCACTAGGTTACTACTTCACACTATAATAGAGTGAACTCTATATTCAATTAGACAGAATTATCTATGGGACATTTCAACTAGACTTCAAGAGAACGCAGGATTCATTAATCTTATCATTAGTAGTTTTAAATACAATTAATGAAGAACAAAATAGTTGGATAATGGAAAGTCAAACAAATCCGTACCAAACAGAAAAAAAACTTGGTTTTCAAAGATAAATTATTTTAACAGTTGAATTCATGACTTGATCTCAGCTAGACCACCAATGAAAAGCTGAAAGTAATGGACGGCCGTTTCGTCCTAGTATGGGACTCCTCAGCAGTGCGCATCCACGATCACGCACGCAAAATTCGAACCCAGGACTTTCGGTCTCGTGCGCGAACACTTAACCCCTAGACCACTTCATTCGATCCATGATTTTGCGCAACTCTTCATTCACTGTCTGGGTTGGATAACTATTTCACACCGGACACTAATTGGACTACACTGGTCACGAATACTAGAATTCCTACGACTCCCCATTCTGATAAATTTTCCTAGCATTGTTTTCTTTTTAAAAAGATATTATGGTCATAAGCAATATAGAACCTGGAATAGATGTGGATCGATTTAAGCTGCCATATGATACATCAACATTGAGGAATGTCAGTGTAATATGACAAGTAACAGTCTTAGTGGCAATAGACAAGTTAAGCATAAATCATATATGATTCAAGGGGAGAAAATATGGAAGATATCATGCAAAACAGTCCTAAATAAAGCATACAGATAATTTGTTTATGATTTTACAATAACTGAAAACAAGGCGAAGCAAAGAAAAATTGTTTTAATGTTGTAAAGTAATGAATGATTCGATTACTAAATAATCAGACTGAACACTTGACTCTGCATTCGATCAATATCCTATGTATAGATCACGATACTAGATCACATGGGACTCAGATAATTAAAGTCTAATTAACAAGTAAGAACCAGATATGGATTAGAATGATAGTTTATTGTGACAAAAAATAACAATCAATCAGTATAGGCTTGTGGAGATTGTTAAGTTTGAATGGATATCATGAATGGATGAATGCTAAACCACCATTAGAAACCTGGAAGCACAGTATGGAGACGAACAACTCAGAATAGAGGGAACGACCAACAAACTTATGAGTTAGATTGCAAAAACGAATGGTCTTTATGTCCCACCATTCAACAACAATTGGCGACGGGGTAAAAAAGAATACAATCCAAGGTCAGCCTGTAATTGGACAAAATTCAGTCTAATTATTTCGAGCAATCAGCATCCAGATTGGTCGTCGGTGTCCTTGGAAGACATTGGTTGCTAAAAAATGGCTATCTCTCCTGACCAATTATAGTTGCTACTTGAGTGACAACAGCAGCGTTTCAAAAATAGCCAGTTGAATATTTTGGACTACTTACGCACACGGCTGCTAAACCATCCATGTTTTGGAGATGCGACAGAAGTTGATAAGTTAATTTCTCATCTGCATACCGAGCTGGAAAATAACTGCAGAACATATGAAGGTGTCTATAAAAGCCTCTATGAGTCCTTTACGAGCAGTAATGTAAGCGAAGCAGTCATTCAAGATCCACCCGGTGGGCCAGTACTCTCCATTCCAGAAACATGCCCTGTCATGGATTCAAACTCCATTATCCCCGAAACGGCATGTACAGACAGTGACGTATCCAGCTCACAAGAAGATCCCCTCGTTCTGCTAGAAAATATGTCACATGCATCAAATAATAATCAAGAAGCTGGTGCAGTTTTGTTGAACGCTGATTATCATAGTGATCCACTATCTACTAGTGAGGTTCTCCATAAATTTGGCCACAATATTTCAGAAGAATCAGACTTCGATCACTTCATATCAAGTGTCGTTCAGCCTCACCACTCAGTCACTTTCAGTCGATCCTCTGTTCAGTGCGACAAATGTCTTAAATAAGTTCAAAGTAATTGTGACTTTGGCATATGAAGATCCAACACTGTTTCGCGGGGGAGGATGAACTCGAAAATTTAAAATCCGGATATCAACTCCGGATCTTCAAAAAAGGGGAGTTGTTGTATTTCGATAGGAATAATGAATGGTAAATCGTATAATAATAGTTCATAGGTCCAAATGAAGCTCATAATAAGAGGGGCATGAATATAAACAGTTTAGTTACATAACAATTATACGATAAAAATATACTCATAATATTGGTCCATAATTGGATCCCAAAAATTACCATTCATTATTCCTATCGGGATACAACAAATTTGTATAATGATGAGGAAATATCACTTTTTAATATCACGGAGTAAAAATGACAGTGTAGAGCAAATAAAATCCTTAATGCTTTGTAGATCGCATGTAACAGGTAAGTAGACACTATCCCTAAATCCTGACCGTAAACCTTGAATGCTGGAGTAAACTTTAGCCTGGTGGTATAATAATTAATGGAAAAAATAGTCAGAGTTAAGATAGAGTCTTTTGGACTTAAAACCTGTGAAAGGAACGAAGTTAGCAAAATAACAACAGGATAAGCTAAACTATTCCATTGCACCCCAGCCCTGCTAACAAGAGGGAATGAAATTATAAAAATAAGATGTTTACCAAGTGATTTCTGGGGATCTAGCATCCCCTACAAAATCATGAACCTAACACCAAGAACAATGTAGGGACGTTCAGAGATTTATTTGGGTCCTTCACAGAGTTCGATCAGATGGATAATCTATATCCATGTGGACAAATTTAGATGTTATTTTTCTTTAGATGTACAAGTAAAGTAACCAGCATAAGACTTTCGTAGATTCATTAATTATGTCTAAAGCTACTTACACTGTAATATTACCGTTTTCTTTTCAGTAAATTATCTACTTGCAAAATAATGTTTTCTGATTGGCTAAAAAGTGGTTGGAAATTTATCGCAATCCTTTTAAGTTCATTCCCCCCTTCTACTACGCCATAATGTACTTCCACTTTAGATGTAGATGTACACATCTATTTAAGAAAAAAACACAGTGCAACAAACCTTTCCATCTGATTTTTTCAGTAGAAATCCACTTTTTTTAGTTCCAAATGCTCGATTCAATGGAGTTGGTTGTGCTGCATACGTGACACCAGTTTGTACTGACTAAAAATACAAAAACAAAATGAATGAAAAGCAAGAAAAAAAAATCACAAAGTGAACAATAAAGCTCTCTGTAAAAACTACGACAAACCAAGAGCAATACACCGTCTTACAACAAGATTGCAAATAAATTATCAAGATACAAATGAGTCACACATTTCACGACAAAATAAAAACATACTTTATACGAGAGAAAAATCATTTGCTGCTAAATGAATACATCATTGCACCGAAAATAAAACAATATGATTTTCATTAATTACGAAGGGAATTATCAATTATAATATGTGAATCAAGATAACATATATAATCATGAAAAAGCTTCAATTATACTTCTATTCGCTTATTTATTTTAAAAAAAAAAACACATTAACACCGGTACAAAGGATCACCACCACACCACACAAAGTAGTTATCATTAGATTTGTATCTGGATTGGGATACTGTCCCAGTGGCTAAACCAGGGCAGGTAGTTTTTTAGGAGGCCTATAACCGAGTCGTTGACCTAGATGTTTAATCTACAAGGCAGTGCAGTGATGTTAGGAGATGCAGTGCCATAGTAGTCGATGACCAATAATAGGTTCATATGCCATTTGTTGTCTCAGGATCTTGAAGACCATTTTCACTATTGGTTTAAAATCAAGATTTATCGAATTTTTTTAGGTGGATGCTCCATAATCACCAACCTGGTTTAAACCCCAGCCGGACATTCGCTTTTCGTCTTTTCAATCTTATAAAGAACTCGAAAGGGTATTGAGTAAGATTAGACTGGAAGTGGCTATATACATGTGCCCATATGAGAGCATTTCGAGAGGGAGAGAGAACTCTTCACATCCTCAGCTGTACCAAGACACCTGAGAGCCCAATAGACTATATATATATATATATATATATATATATATATATATATATATATATATATATATATATATATATATAATGTTAAGACTGATTTATTATGTAGCTTATATAGTCTAACAAAGAGCTCAACATAATGATGTCAATTTGTCATTTCTAGTGAATTTCGTAGTACTTGAAGTTTGTTCTAGTTAGTCTACGTCAACTTCAGTAAACACTACACAGTTAGTTATATGCAATTTAAGAGCTAGTACATGTGTGCATCACATCAGTATAGTGAAATGAAATTACCAACAAATTCCAGAATAGCAGAAGTAATAATAGCATTAATGGTAACAGAAAATATTAGGAATAAACAATATGATTCGAAAACAATTAATTCGTGCTAGAAAAGTATAAAATGATTACGAAACTCAAGATGTATCTAGGCCATTGTGATTCATTCCAAGTCATGCCACTTAACATCTCCAACCATTAGTCACGATCGTCACGTTGCCCCCAACTAGCTGGTTTGCACCAGCCTACAACTTCATCAGTCAATGATTTTATGCACTAATACCACATTTTGGTTAAGCATTCCTTAGCTTACTTCCCAATTACTCCCACACCAACTAATACGGCAAGTTGAGATAGGCAGCGGTTAGACATATGCAATACATACCCCAACTATTCCAGTCGATGAATTAAATTATATACATATCTCTTTGCAAAAATGAATCTAGTTATGAGACCACTAACTAGTGTTTGATCAACCGTGTAGTATACTATAAATGTATATGAGATAAGTGCTTTGAATGGACAAACAACAAGTCATAAGTTCACTTTGGTTACCCATGTAGAACAGGATAGTTGAATGTACTGAAAATACTGTTATTATTCCGCGTGTCACTCAAAACAAAAAAGTATGACAAAGAATTGATTAAGTTTATTACCATTTTAAAAACTGAAAGCCTCTAGAATTAGAAATAACTTCGGTGACAATATAATTTATAGACGAGCTTTGAGAGTGAACACCTACTGATTAGGACTAAATGAGGGTTGTAAACCAGTTAAAATCTTTATTTACGGTTGATGGTTAGAATTAAAAATTAGATTTAGAGTTTTCATCACGAACTGACATCAGCTATAATGCCAAATGGATAAATGAATTTTACGCCAAAATTCCTGACTCGTTAATTTATATCTGATTGGTTCTTCCATAAATTACAATTTCTCACAATTGATTGATCACTGGGTGGCGATCAATGTCATGCGTGTCTAGTCCTTGTTAGTGCAGATCTAATGCTATCAATCATGTTGCAATGTGGCCACCAGTCTAGGTGACTCGACACTGCGGGCACTATGTATTGAGATTTAGATGGTGGTTGGAGGTAGTCAACAGGAAACCCTGGACCCGGGTTTCGTGCTAGTTGGCACTCGTCAGCAAGGTGTACCTGTAATCTTGAGGGAACTGGTGCTCCCTGGCGGATTCGATCTCGTGTCACCCTCGTTCACAGTCAGAGACGTTACCGCTGAGCTATCCGAGCCACAACCGACCTCCTGTAGGACTGAGATGTAATCACAATTGACCTCCAACCACCATCTAGTCTCAATATATATAGTGCCCGCAGAGTCGAGTCACCTAGACTGGTGGCCACATTGCAACATGATCGATAGCATTCGATCTGCACTAACAAGGACTAGACACGCATGAAACACTGATCACCACCCAGCGATCAACCAATTGTGATTACATCTCAGTCCTACAGGAGGTCGGTTGTGGCTCGGATAGCTCAGCGGTAACGTCTCTGACTGTGAACGAGGGTGACACGAGATCGAATCCGCCAGGGAGCACCAGTCCCCTAAAGATTACATGTACACCTTGCTGATGAGTGCCAAGTAGCACGAAACCCGGGTCCAGGGTTTCCTGTCGACTACCTCCAACCACCATTTAATTAAAATTTCTCCATAACTTCTAAAATATCTAGTGAACAGAACCAGTGTGATACATCATTTACTTAATAGTAATAAGAATAATCGCTAAAACTTTACAATATCAAACAAATGAAAATAAAACCCAAACGGATAAACTTGATTTAATTCTTAACTAAATTTGCATTTCATAAGAAAAGTTGTATAGTGTAAAATGTTTCTTAAATTTGCACAAATTATTGAGATATAAATCAGTAATACTAACACTTAAATAGATACAAACTATTCAGGTGATTTTAAATGATACATGGTATGACTTATTTTAATTTATTTGATCAATCTAATCATAATATTATTGTGATATTAAAATCGGTAATAGATTCGTTGTATACATTTTATGACAGCGATTAGAATCTATATGGAACCATCAATGTGATGTGATCTCGTCAAAAACAGTAAAATGGATAGTTGTTTTCTTTCCATCTAAATCCATCATGAGACCTGAATGACTTGTATCCGACGCCCTGTGTGATTGTAGATGAACACTGATACTAAGAAGTTTCATACTAAGATAAAACAGCTGCGTTAGTCCTTATTGGTCTTCAATTCTTGTTTGATTAAGGTCAGTTCGTGATGTAAATTGTGAAATCCAGCAATATTCACATCCCCCGACATAGTAAAAACTGATTACATTATGCAATCTGATCACAAATCATATCGCCTTTAAAAACAACGACAATATGTATATAATATGATAAAACCATAGAGAATTTCTGATAGATAATTACGTAATTGAAGCTCTATAAAAACTGACAAACAGAAATATCTGAACAGCCAAACAGAAGAAAAATCAAGAAAGTATGACGGATAAACACAAACAACGAGAAACAATGAACATATAATAAATACAACAACTAACTACACCAACGTAATCCATTAAGTAACAATGAAATCTTTTCATATAATGTACATATTTATGGGTTTAATGGTGGAGAGAGATGATTACCTGTCCGAATAGACGGGATTTCCGACGAATCGAATCACACTACATATGTACATAAGCACAAATAACGAAAAAGTATAAATAATTGGAACGAAATCAATAAGAACAACGGTTATTTTTCGATTATAGATCCAGGATCTCTTAAGTAAATATATTCAAAACAATAATAGTAATAATAAACATGGGGTACGATATGTAATCGTACCTATACAAGTGGCATGGATTAGAAATAATTGATGAATGTGATATTATTTAACTATGGATAACCTTCAAAAACCAGCAATATGTCTGATGAACTTGTGGATCCAAATGTAATAAAATAGTATATATTACTGTATTTTTACGATAAATGTTTGTATAAATTACTCGGAACTACCAAGCTTTATAAGCAAAGATGGATGGTAGCTATCAGTGGAATCCAAAACTGATAAATTGCAGTCCCAAACATCAATCGGAAGATTCAAACAAACGATACAAAGATGAATTAAATCTTCAGCACATTCTACAAGCCAGTAGCTATCTAGATTCAGCAGCTAAGTGGATAATGAGATGGCGTTTGAAGCGAATGGTACTGGGCTCGAGTCCCGGAGTGAACACCAACTATGGAATGCAGGTACATTCAGCTGAAAAGTCCCAAATAGGACCATACGCGCGTCGCGAATTCCACTGTTAGCCACCATCCATCATTGCTTACATGAAGATAGTTGTTGTCCAAAAGAACTGAAGTTTAAATTGATTATTTTACTTAGAAATTTGATTATATGAAGAACCAATATCTACACATAGTTTGTTCTATTTTCTTCAAAAGGACGAGAACAAAGATTTGAGCAGAATGACATGAATTCATTTTTATTTTTTCTGGTTCTCATCAGCTGATTATAACTTGTAATATTTAAAAGTTATGATTACAAAATGATTTTAAACTACTTACATGACAATAGAGTAAATACTAAACATGTCTTGGATATAGGACATCAAGTTGATACCTTGCAATCCATCAAGGTGATTAATAAACAGTCAAGCCTTAGTCTTCTAAAGTTTGCTGAAGCCATTGCTATTAGACATCAGAAACCGGATTTATATGATCAAAAAGAGATGGTTTTTTTATCTTTCTTTGCCTTAGTGACAAATATTCCTTTATTACATCATGAAATTTTGTTCAACCCTTTCTTTCAATTAATTACGTCATTATATATTTTTATTTCGACTGTCTTATTTTAACTGAGGTTTACACAGTATTATTGTCCTTATTACGTAATCGCTTGCTTCTAAATCTTGTCTCTTATTACTAGCAACGTAGAATATTCTTTCTCATAAATATATATTTACATTATTATACTTGGTCTAATATATTTATTTATTTTCTATAGTGTACTGATGTTTGATAATAGCAACTTCCAACTGAACTCTTTCATGAGAGTAATTTCAACCTGTTTTGTAGTTAAGATTCTAAATATTACAGAATGTAAGTAGCTGATGACGGACAAATGAAATAAAATGAATTCATGTCATTCTGCTCAAATTTTTATTCTTGCCCCCTCTTCAAAATAATATCTATATAAAAAGCTTCGACCAACACACGCGCTGTTCATCATGACAGTTTATAATGTCTAGCAACATTACTTTCACTACTCAAAGTAGAAGTTGGTATATAACTGATATTGGTGTTCACATTGTTCTTCAGTCATCACGCTATGAACAAATGGCTACACTAAATATGATTTCGATAAAATGAATTGGTTACTTAACGTATTTTAAGACTAAATTCCAGTCCCCCCCCCAAAAAAAAGAAACAATAGTTAATGCCGACAAAGTTGAATCGTAAAGTTACCTCTTTATCTAAAACTCCCTTGACTTCTTCTCGAGTATCAACAAGACGACGTTTTTGTATATCATTAATTTTGTGCAATTCATTTACTCGATTAGATAAATCAGTCATTGATTTTCCAAAATGATCCATCACACCTAAACATTCACGTAAGTAACTATAAAACAGAAAGAAAAAAGACAGCGAATACTTTTACTATTGAAAATCAAAACCATGAAGTAAAATAAAATTATACAATTTAGTGTATGTCCCGGTACGATCGAGTGTAAGGAGAGTCTACTCTCTCTTTTGAAATGTCCTCATATAACCATGCATTCCATAGTCTCTGTTGGGGAAGGCCAATTCACTCTTTACACCCCAAGGTTGTTGGTTATGAAAGTAAGAGAATGAAAATATGAACATCCGGAACTTAAATCATGTTGATGGATACAGAGGGTTCATGTAAAGACGTGGTTGGAGGGCACAGATTCCAAACCAATGATGTACACAAGCCCCAAGATCATGAAGGAACGAATGGTGCATGAATCTAATTACGGTCATCGGTTATCATGGGACGAGATCTCTTCACTTTGCTACATTACTTCATAGATTAGATCTTTGAACCAAAGGCTCGGATGATAGCTCCCTAAGAAAGTCACCTACTTTGGTTTGAGCGCTCAAGTAGTAGTCCTAACACAGATTTCTGTGTGACATACTACTTTTGGTATGAAATTATGGATTAAATGACTAAATTAAATATTACATAGTAATCTAAAATTTACTGTCGACATTTGTTCAAAGGAGTGTAAAAAGGTTTTAAGGGGAAATGAGTTGTAAGTCTAACTAGGAAATACAAAATAGTGATTGATATTTTCCTCTTAATAACTGTGATACTATCCGGTGAAAGAGAAAGCATTTCTTGGTGACCCTCATGCACTGAATGTTTTAGATCAAGACACCGTAAACAAGCATGTAAACTTGTTTCTGATGAAGATCACAAAGCACGAAGAGATTTAAGTTCACTTAATAGGTTAGACAACACATGGCCATTATGTCTTTTTATTACGACTGTCTTCCAGATTAGTAATCTTGTTTTATTAACTGAGCTTTACACATTTTATTCCAATCAGAGTTTACTCATTATGTAGTCACTTGTTTCTAGCCCTTTGAACTCTTGTTACAATCAATATTGTAGAATGTTCTTTCACATGAGGTATACATATATAATACAATCAAATAAAAAATGCCATGTAAAGGGGGGAAATTAGTTGGAAAAATGTGCCTGTAGTACCTGAGATGATCGAGGGAGTGTGTGTTAAGTACTCTCAACTAGCCACTCCATCTGAATGTACTATGATATTTACATTAGAAGTACAGTGAACGTCGTACAGTAGTTTTATGATAGAGCAGTCTATAAATTTTTATTTAAATGGTATGATGCATTCTGATGAACATCTTCAACAAAACAGAAGTCAATGACTGGAAAGTTCAATAAATAACATTAATAGTTGACCAAAACCCAAAGGTTTTGTGAATCTAGAGAAACTCACTAATTAGTTTCGCCTCACGTATTTACTTGTTTCTTGGCTTTTCGATGCTTTACTATTTTTATTCCTTTGATTTCCTGTAGTCTCTGATTTTTGAGATGATGTACGATATACTAATTCTAACCACTACATAAATCTACAAGGTCTTAACTTTTCCAAGTAGCTTTAAGGTTAAAATACTTTATGCAATGATCTTCCTTTTTCGAACTAAATTGTTTCCTGTTAAGTATCAGACTTTTTATCCACCTTTTTCCATCACATTAGTTTCCTCACATCAGAAAATGATGAGGTTAAGACACGGAAATAATTGATGAAATTTTAACAACAAGCTACCTTATTTTGTACTAATTTTTTAAGAAATATAAAGTTTGAAATATCGTTACGTGAAATGTTTGAGGATTTTCGCACTTGTAACGTTTAAATTGGTTATTTAAATACATGAAAGTAAACAAATGGTTTAGGTTTACCAACTCAGTGATCAAAGATATATTTTTCCCTTCACTCACATAAACGTTAAATACATTTAGCTGTTATTCTAATACACGCATAAATGACACATAATTGTAAATAGTGAAATAAAATCTGAACAGAATGCAGATTATAAACAACGATAAGATTTTTAGTAGAAATAACTTACTGAGTTTGAACATAGAAGAAATCAATTAAATGCTGCAGGAGATCAGCGCCACGCTTTGCTTTTAATTCATTCACCTTGATCAGATACTAAAATAATATTAGATAGAAAATTTTAAAAGGTCAGGTATAATTATTTACAAATCAACTATGTATAATGATATTTAGACCGGCATATATTATAACTACCACTATATCAAACAAATACAACTTGATATGTATAGTTTTAAGCTAGGTAATGATACACAGTTGCCCAAACTAAAGTGGAGCGGGTTCGAACCCGGGACTTAGTAGTTGAAAGCTGGACGACTTAAGTATTGAGGCAACGCCCCACTGTAGAGAGTAATATACACTAAAAAAAACCAGTGTAATCATCGACTACATTACTTATTCTTTGAAATACAATACCTGAATGACAAGAAATCTACTCATTTGGAAAAAAAATACTAGCTGTGAAAATATTCTAGGTGGAATGAACAGTTAGAAATAACCCAATCAAATATTAGTGATGGCAAACATACATAATGAACTGGGATTGACAGAAAGAGCAGGTTAGCAAGTGAATGCTAGTTAGTGTGAGTGGCTTTAAGAAATACTTTTCTTAATCGAGAATAAGTTGAAACAATAAAACCTTGTCATTCGGTCTGTAACGGTAAAGACAATGAACGACTACTAACCTCTTCACTTAGTTTATTGGACTCAAAAGGATCAGATAGTGAATTTCTGGTTAAAGGATTTTTCAAACCCATAAAGAAGAAATAAAACCACAAATAGTACATAAACATATCTTTAAGAAAAGGAGGGATAAATAACACTTCTAAATATATTGGTTGGTGATATCAAAAGAGGTAAACACGAAAGACAATGTGGGGCCTGGGAATCTCAACGATAGCACCGGGTGACAGGTTCGACTCCTACAAAATACATTAGTCCCTTCATAAATTCAGAAGTGCCTTGCTGGTGAGTGCTATCTAGCGCAAAACTGAGGTCTAAAATATCTTTTCGATTGCCTGCAACCACTGAGTACGTGTTCATTACGTAACAACACCCATACAAAAGTGACTGAGGTACATATCGATTAAAATCAAGTGAGTTTTGTAGACCTATCAGAGCTAACTCTAGTTATTTTGTACCTTGATAAGTACTTGAAAAAGAGAAATTGGTCTCCTTTGCAATGACAAACTACTGTTTCTTGATACAATACGATGCAAAAAAAGAACTTACTTCACAAGTTTCAAGTTGAAGCCTTCGACGTTCTTTCTCTAAATCTTTCGTCATTCCTTCTGTAAATGCTTCAGGAACATAGCATCCAGTTTCCTTCATTGTTTGTAATTTTTCCTTCCGTAATTTATCACTATGTATCATAAAAAATAACAATCGATAAACGTATTAGGAAATTTTATGAACAGACTACCAATCCCTGAATGAATGTTTTGACAGAGTATGTATCACCTTCAACTGAGAAGTCGAGCAGACCTGCCGGTAAATGAATGACTAGGTATATAGGTCACTTAAACATAGGAGCTGAGATGCAACAACTAATCTGGAATTAATTATTAATTATTCATTGATTTTGAAACGAAAAGAATATATAACTAATTAGTTTGAAAACCAACATCGGTGAAGCACGATATACTTAAATACACTAAGTACACTGCAGAAAACTAAAACTTCACTAACCGAGGGAAAAAAGATGACAGGATTGTATATTGAATTATTACCAATTTGTTTTGGATCAACTTTAAATCAAGACAGAACATCTCTTGAACCTTAAAACACACACTTCAGACACATTTATCACGGACTAGCTTATTTTAAAAACTACAAATACTATTGCTCTGTGGCAGCAAAATTTAAACCACAATCTTATGTTAATATTCACTTGATAAAATAGATTTAAACTTGTCCATTACATTAACTACGTACCACAACTTAGGAAGAGTAAAATTGTAAACTACGAAAATCCAGCAAGTCATTTAGGGTTCTTTAGTTTCAAATAATGGAGCATAATAATGTCAGCTACTTGTATGTGGCTTCAGTGTGGATAACTTGGTAGTTTCAGTAATATTCAAGAATGGATTAAAACCAAGTATGTCGACGCCTATCATCGAGTTATGTCAAATATAATTAAGAAGATAGCAAACTGTTTTGAAGTCTATTGACGAAGCACATATTGAAATACCCCAATAAACGTAATGAACTTACTATTTATATTCATAATCCTTAAGTGCCTTCTCGAAGGGTTTCTTGAGGTCGCTTTTAATATCACCCTGCATAAATGTTTCCATTGGAAATACTACGATACTGTTTAAATTCTGCATCTAAATATAAAGAATTGAGTAATTTTTAAAAAAAGTTTTAATGTAAAATGTTATTCGTTCTGTGACGTTATTATATGAAAAAGGTCAGAACTATGTACGTCACCACTCACTAAATGCTTTGTCATGTTGGCTAAGTCCCGGTGAACAACGGAGAACTTGCAAAGACTGGTGGCAATGTCATTCCCATTGGGTTCGTTACCCTCCAAAGCTATTTGGCCAAGTCTTTCTAAAAAGTCACATAATAATGTTATTTGTTCAGCATATGCTGGAAAAATAATAAAGGTCAAGAATTACCTATTCCAGAGGCGACAACTGACTTTACTAATTTCTTTGATCGTATAAGAACATTTCGATCTGTCTCTAAACCCTAAAAGAAGATAATGTTAAGTATATATATGTAAGTTCGACATGAAAAATTTGTTTTGAGAATAAAAAAAGTTACCTCGTCTAGGCTGTATACTGTACACCTTACACTTGAAATTTTCGAAATAAAATCGGATTTGAGAGGATGTCTGATGTCATTCAGAGTGTCACCAATAAACTCATCAACAGTCAACGCATCAGGCATTATCCCAGTGGCGTTGTGATTAAGAAGAGCGCCCGTTCGAAATATTTTTAATATCTAATATATCCGTGATCCTTTTGAAAAACCATTTACTACTTTTGCCAACATTCGTTGGTGTTATAGAGTCTAATCTGAAGCGCTTTGTTCATGGACTTGCTTGAAAAAGTTTCACCGATCGGTAATTTTGAACCTGATTTTTTTAAGTTTCACATCATAAAAACAGGAAGTGGGTGGTCTGTGTAAGTTCTAACAGGGGTAGTATCTCAGTTGATCATCAATTAATTTAAATACTGTCATCAATTCACTTCTGATTCATCTATATGTGTCTAGTTTTACTAGTCTGTTGTCATACGAGAGCTTTGAGGTTCCGTGGATCAGCATAGTTGTGGCTCTTCTAGCCTGTTCCAATAGTTCACTGTCTCTTTTTAGACAAAAGCTGGTCGCTTGTATGCAATTCTCCAGTTCAGAACGAGAGAACATTGTGTGCAAAGTCAAAAATGTTTAGTATCAGCCTGACTAAAGGCTCTGTGTATTGACCTTAGGATTCTTAAACCTTTGAAGGCTTTCTCACAGAAATTTGTATTAGTTGTTAAGTCTTGGATAGAGATGACTCCTAAATCATTGTGCATTTGAACAGTAATTAGCTCAGTGTTATTCATCGAGTATGTGTCTGCACCTCGGTGACCAATATGCATGACAATGCACTTGAAAGCATTCATCGGCCACTGCCAAATTCTGGACCGATCAAGTGATTTCTGCTAGTTACACCAAACCATCACTTTTACTTTTTACCGCTTTCTATATCTTGAGGTCGTCGGTATATGACAAAACTGGTGATGACACGAGACTGGGAAGGTCATTTACTTGTAGAGGAAACAACATTGGCTTCAAAAGTGTGTCCTGAAGTGCTCCGCTAAAGTTTCCCAGGTAAACAACTTGGAGTTCACTTGCACTCTTTGTTGTCGTCCGTGTAGGCATCCCTTTATCCACATAAATTATTTACCTCCAATCCCGAAATCACTTAGTTAACAGTCAGTTGTGAGGAACTTTGACAGAAGCCCTATTGAATTCAATATAAGCTACTTCCATAGGTATTAATTAAGGGACGAGTATACTGTGCAACATTTTGTTCTGCTCTACTTTAAAGCATGGTCATTAAGGGTAGAAGATACTCGTAAGCTACTAGTATTTGGTCACAGATGTCCTAGAATTATTGCTCGCATCTGCTGGGACCACCGGGTAGGCAGTAGTGAGGCTAGACGCAGTGTATTAGCGAATGATGGTAAATCAGTTGGTAAGATCTTCATCGACTGAGATAGTTTGGCCACGTATTACGTATGTTTGAACACCGTTTACCATGACGCGCAACGCTGACTAGTGTTGGAGACGGTTGGAGAAAAGTTAGGGGCAGCTAAACCAAGACATGGCATCAGTAATTGAAGTCATTGGCTTCTGGTCGGAGCCTTATTGGTAGGTGTGAACTAATTGGTTGGGGTCCGCATGACTAGCGTAACTAATGGTTAGAGACTCTTGGTGAATAGCACAGAATCGATCGCAATTGTGTAGAAGTGTACACTCTTTTTCTTCACCTACGGAGTGAGATTAAAGTTGCTTTATATCTTTCCTTTTACCAAATAATTATTTCTTCCTGTACTATATTCTTATACACTAACGTTCGTTTCTATATTACTATCATTGAAGTGACTACTATTAAATTGGTATTGATCGTGTGCTAATGAGGTGCATCGACTTGAACCGATGCATATTTGTGCCTAGTCGTATGTTGTAGCTGACTGACTGACATCAATAGCTAACTTTCGGTCTTTAAGAGCACGCTAACTTTCATGGGATATCAACAAGTTTGTGAGATATGAATGACATGTCCTGAAGCTGTACCGTCTTTCGAAAAGAATCTGATTTTCGTCTAGAGACTTAAACAATTAATTTAGAATCTTTTTCAAGCTCTTAACAACTACCCTGGTCGGGCTTATGAGTTGATAGTCCTCAGATATGTATCTCGCACTTGTTTTAAAGACAGGGTTAAATATAGTGTTCTTCTAGTCTTTTGGAATTTGCCTTAGGTAATCGACACATAAAGACATACGTTCAGCGAAATGGCGAAACAATTTGTTAGTTCCTTCAGTAAACTGTGATGAATTTCACTTGGTTATATGGATCTACCTACATAAAGGTTGTTTAGCAAACCCGAGACATCCAGTTCTTTAATGGTCGCAGTATCCAGTGTGTATATGGGGGGTTGTATTAAGTGAGGAAATAAGATCTCTGTAATTTCTGTGATTTTGCGATCAATTACATTCTGTTTTCCCTACTCGTCTTCTTGTTCATTACAATATGTCGAGAGGCGTTTTGTCTAAGCTGGCTAGCAGCTACTAGGTTCGCGTAGCATGGAGTACCACTCGTGATTCTGTTCAGATGAGTGACTAAGTTTCTTCAGCTTGAGTGTGTTCAGTAAAACTAGTGGGGTCAGCATTATTGTCTAAGACTTACAGGACTGTTTTTCTGGGAGTTTGTTTACCGCTTCACGTTTCTTTATTAGGTATAACTCAAGCTAACTGCGATTGCTAAAACAAGATGTCATTAAAAAGTATAGGTAAATTGCGGAGACTAAAAACAGCGTGTTTGGAAATGCATCAGTATGATAATCAGAATTACTTGGAGCGAGTTGCTAAGATTGCCTAGAATGATCCAACTTTAGACAAATAGAATAGAATGAGTGCAACTGGGCGTAATATGTTCAGAATAAGCAATAAACACGGAATCAAGCACAAAGGAATCACCGGTTAGTGCAAATACCACGAATAGTTCTGAACCAACAAAAGAAAGATCGACTTATAAGGCAGGATTAGTAATCGTCACACTTAAAAGAGCAGTTAAGAAACACTAAGTGTTGCTGAAAGAATGGCATCTGTTAATACAACTAAAAATAATTGTATCGTGTTCAACAAGGTTATAATACAAATGTCAGTTTGTAGAACTATGGTCTACTATGATATTAGTACTGCTCTAATAATAGACCTAATCCTAAATTTGTAGGTTTGTCATGATATAACTGCCTAATCTATAAGATCTTACGTGGAAGTCACACCATCGACTACACCAACTCACTGTATCGTATCAATTACCAATACATGATGTAGAACAAGGTTAGGCTAGAGAAAGAACAATATATTTAAAATGAACAGAAGATATAAGGTAACATTCAGCAGAGACCACGCCTGCATGGCCGAGCCATGCCACTCGATCAACTCCAGTCCATTCAATTCATTGTTCGCGCCTTCTCCATCGTTAGGTATTTCTTCGCGTTAAATATTGAATATCTATTTTCCGAGTAATCTCGTATTCAGCTTTGAGGATTGTGTGGTTATGGTCCAATGCCGCTACACTACTCTCCCACCAGAATCAACATGATGTTGGTTCGATACCAAATTGGATGGGATCGTCACGCGCCGGAGGTTACCAAGGATAATAAGAATCTTCCGGGTATTGGTAAGCTGAAAGATAAATCAAAAAGAAAGCGCCATCATCTGGTTGGGAAATACATGTAATAATTTTAAAATCTCTGCCTTCATGCTTAACATGCTTGAAATGAAGATTTGGGTAAAGATTATTTGAGCTATAAAAAATGGGATTACAATAATAATAATAAAACCATGAGTGTTAATAGCCGTTGGTTAATAACTTGACGTATAGGTAGTAAGTATTTTGTGTTTAGAAATATTAAAGTGATGAATATTGTAGAAATGTTAATATTGGTATTAGTTTTGGTTCAAATTATGAAATCGAATAACGATCATGCCGGTAAGTTGTCCATATGAGTTGAATTCCAATTGTATCTGTATTAGTAGGCTAACTGAAGGAACAAAAGTATACCGTGGAGAAGAATTCCAACTAGTGTTCCAGTTAGTTTGATACGGTTTATTTAGTTACGGGGAGATTTTCTCAACCTCATTTTTACTTGACCGTGATAGAATTTAGTAATACTACTAATACACATGAATGTTTATCAAAACAAAATTTAAATACGTGAGTGATGATTATATGAATTTTGGACAGATAGCTAGGAAAAATCGTTAAACATGAGTGTATTCGTAAAACACATGCTCTAGACTCAATGTTCTGATCTGCGGCAGACTATTTATTTATATTTATACTTGCTGGCTGATTGGACATACAAGTTAGTTGCAAGTATGCAGTTTATCATAAGACGGAATACGATTTAATTGAGATATAGTGGTTATAGGTTATTAAAATCAGTTAGGCCTGTGTCATATTACGAAGTGATGTGGTGCTGCAGGATGTATTTAGCTAAACAAGTTTTTACAAGATGATTAATAGTGAGTGATGCTCATGTGATTATCAGAGAGAACATAAGTTGTAACCAGGGGGAGTACACTCCCAACTCATGTCTATGATAATGGCTTGAACCTTAGTCAGTGTTGGGGTAAATTCGACATTGATGTTTTCAGTTTGCAGGAGATTTGCTCGACTGCTTATACTGATTATTTGCATGCATGATTGTGTCGCTAAACCATCAATTAGACTGACAAGGTTTTGAGATATTTACTGAATGAGCAACTGAGAGAGAAACATACTGTAATCATCTGTGATGGATGAAGATACCAAGAAAACAACACCATTTAATGGTAATTATAAGTCAATTTGTTGACCGATTTCGTTAATAGTTTCATTAATTTTATCAGTCATATTACGTGATTGTCAAGTTATGACAATGCTTTATGACGATATCCTGAAACTATTAAATTTAACTAGTTATAGTGTTGATTGAGGATTAGTCAATGGAAAAATAGGTATTGTTGCTTTACGTGATTCGAAATTATTGGAAATTTATAACGTTAAAGAATCCGAGACGCCTAATTTAATTATAAATTTCAATTCAGAAATATTCGTTTAGTGTTAATTCTAGTAGGCTACGGAGTTTTGATTAGAAACGTTTGTTTAGCCAACAGCTACCTGAGGATCTAGTTATTTTAC